GATATATGTGATGTTGTTAATTTCATTGGTGTCCGACATGAATTCCATTTGATTTCCCTGTCAACGGGTACATCACGTTCAAGTCATATTCGAAAATATCCATAGAGACGTCGCGGCTTAAGGTCGTCGATGAACATTTTTCCCTGTCGTTTAACTGCATTAATAAGACTAGACGCGCTCCGCGGGTGGATGTTTTGCCGTGAAATCTCTGCTATAAACTCTACTTAAATCACACACAACTATTGCAATGCAATGTGATAGGACCGATGTCCAATGATCGAGAAATCGATTTTTACCGGCTCACTACATTCATATTATTTACTTAAATTATACTCCTGACAAAAAAACGCACAAAATATTCGTTTTCCAGAAAATTCCCAAGAGAACGAGTGTACACTCTAATATTGAACCGTTTTTCTAAGCCAATGTCTCACTGCTCCGTGACTCTTAGAATGCGTGTGTTTTGCTCGTACTGATTTCGCTCATAAAACGAATTAAAGTCACAACATTCATGTTCGTTGCAGTTAAATGTCTGTGTTATGTGTTTATACTGCGTCGGATTATCCGCATACATTTATGACATATGATTTATGTACAAAGCGGTCCAGAGGCGTTTACGATTCTTGCCGGTCCTGACATGATTACCGGGCACAATGCGCTTCGTATAATTAGAAAGCACCAATGTTTACTGCACCGAACTCAATTATCTGACAGCTTTTTTTTTTTCCGTTAATTGAAACTATCAATAGGGATTTTGGAAAACGAATAAGTTTGCATTTTGATTTTGTGCAACGAAATCTAATCGCTTGTCTCGACTTGCGCGTTTCTCCGCGACGTCATAAACAACTAACATGCAGTGGATTTAAATGAAGTAAAATCGGTACAAGATTATATCGTGTGTGCTGTCGAATAAAAAAAAAACAATGTTTAATCTTTCCAGGCTTAACCTACTTCACTTAACCGTTCGGCCTCGCGGTGTATTGCCTACTATTATTATGATTTCGATGTAATCGCAACACTATTGTTCGCTGTGCGCGCATATAATAATATAAACAACAATTTTAAAAAACGTGTGTGTATAGGTGGGAGTATAGTGTAGTGAATCTGAAAAAATACAAGCAAGAGCAGTGCTCGCTTATAGTATTTTCGGTTGGTTATTATATTTTCTTTATTAGAACAATAGGAAACTGCGAGTAGCGCTCGCAGAATAGAAAGCCAAACATTGAGCGCGAACACATTGCAGTTCGATTCTATGGGCTCATTTTCAATATGCATTATTATGATTACTATTGTTATAGAATCGGTTGTTGTGCGTGTGTATACACATTACCACGTATTGGCAAGGAACAAATAATATTCTTGAAAGAAAATAAAAGCCATTGTTTCAATATGGCGGTGGAAAATTTGTCACGGCTTTTCAAACGCCCTCGGTTAGTCTTCCTTATCTATTTGCTATTCGTTCGGATTAATACTGTCTCATGCTACCCATTAAAATATTCAACAGTCTCGGATCGGTGTATTTGTTTTGCAACCTATTGCACCGATCATCAGCCAGAGGGCTAGCAACACTTATGTCGTCCAAAAATATACGTCTACTTTTTGCGATTACCGTGTCTTGGGCGTTACGAGTCAAACTTAAGATTAGGCCGATACGCGTGTGTGAGGGCGAGGTCGTATAATGCTATCAATATTGTCGGAGTGTTTTGCGCACATACGTGGATCAAATGTTGTTTTGGAAGGCCTAACCTCACTTGTGCGTGAGAAAACGTTTTGTAGTCAGCTTACACCGCGAAAAACCGGAATTTCCGGACACGGAGAGACACACACAACACTCTCCAGCGCATAAGTTGAAATCGCTTATCAATGAGCGTCCTTCACGTTGACGCCCACGAAATATATTATAATACGGCCGGCTTGTAGGGTCACAGCTGTCACAGTGTGACCCCCGAACGCAGCTTTTTGCATAGGTAGATAGCCGGCCCGGATTTCACTCCAACCTTTCTTGGACGCGCTTTTTAATGTCTTCTCCCGTGCCAAAAAATAATTCCATTCGAACGCTGTCGATAAACATCGTGCCCATGAGCCTCCCAAGCACTGTCGATCAGAACCCATTGAAGTTTTAATTACAAGTCTAATCGTCAGAAAACGACGCGTTCAACACGTTACGTATCTTTCGATGCGATCGACCAATACTCATTAAAGATTGTCGTGTAAGTGTGAAACGCGCAGTGCACTGACCTAACTACCACCACACCTTATGAACAATGTCGATTGGTCATAATTAGCGAAATTTCAAAAATGTTGTCATCAACCAACTGCTACACTTTTTTTATTGTCGAACCAATTAAATGGAAGTCATGTCACTCTTATTATGAAAACATTTTGTCATCGTGACTTAAAATATGAAACGTTATGTTCGCCACACTCTCGTTTAAAGCGTTCACTACCGGTGGTAAAAGAATGTTTATTATACACTTGTGAACCTCGTCCGTACACTCGTGACTTACTGAACATGGCAAAATAATAATGAAAAAAAAAATGTATATATAGGAAAAAAACATTAGAAATAATAATTTCTTCTAATTGACGAACAGCCGCTACCGCTTTCTATTTTCCATCTAAGATGTTATTTATAACGCTGGTTCGTCGTGTGCGCACTTTATTTATTATATTATTATATTAGTCGCAGCCACTCGGACGTCATGAAACTTTGATTATTTATTAAGTTATAATTTATTGGGCTTACACTTCCAAGTATCGTCGGCGTGTCTGTCTGCATGTCTCACGTTACGCACCGACAATCTCCATTTAAGGGCCTTTAATATTCCGAAGTTTGATTGTTGCAATTGAACGAACGGATTTCCAACTCGATCATAACTTGCCTCTACATTGTTCGAAAAAGGACCCCGAGGTTCGGTTAAATTTCCAAATACTTGCTAGAAAGCGTGTGCGGTTTGTGGTAAAGCACAGTGCAATTAAAAACACAATACGGTGTAATACACTGACTAGAGGTGTCTGGGAATAATAATTAATACAGTAAAAAAATCAAAAGACACTTTCGTCGATTGTTTCCGTCACTATCGGAGATTATTACACATACGAATTACGTGCGCTGTTACATAAACGAACAACACGGTGTAAAGTATGAGGGAATGTGACCCGCGGCTGTCGATCACGGACGTCACGAGGAAACATACGGACAAAAGGTCTCTCGCACTAAATCCTTGTTAGAAATAGGCAACTGACACGGCCGTACTTAACAGTAGTAAGTGTAGTAGTAGTAGTAGTAGTAGTAGTAGTAGTAGTAGTAGTGTACCGAATAGGAGGTGTCGGACAAGGTGTAGTGGAGCATTCGCGTCTTTCTTGTGGCCCCCGAGTATTACTCGAACCTCCCCCGGGTCTGTTTTCACTTCAGTGTGTATTGGAATATAATTTTTTTTTTTCTTTCTGACCGTGTAGTAATAATTAGCGGCGCCCGTTGTGAACACTGTCCTCCTCTACAAGACAATGATCGCGCTACCGTCGACGGCTAACAATAGGAAAACCAATTTTCGATAGCCGATTGTTGTCGTCGCACTTGTACATACACGTATTATGTATGTATAATGTTATATCGATGACGGTGATGATAATAATAATAATAATAATAATAATACCAACACGGCGGCACGTCTTTACAGCGCCCGGACCATTGGCGCCGCCGGACCACGTCGAATAAATTTCGTTAACGCGCCGCGACGGCTCCTCCTCTGTTGGCTACACAACAGTTAGGCGTAGAGCTTTATAATTGCTACTGAATAACGACAAATACAATAACTCCGGTAGGATAATGAACACGGCTGTGAGTAAAAATAATTAAATTTTAATCCCGTTTGTGGTACCGACAAAACTTTCACGGCGACGCCTAAACTGTTCGGTTCGACTAAATCGTATGTCTGCCACTGTCGACTCGAAGAACTGCCCGCAAGACACGAATGACGTCGTTCCCAATAAGCGATGCCTTCGTCGAGAACTTCTGAAAAACGAATATTTTTCAACTTTGGTGGAACGTTTCGTGCACACGATAAGACTTCCTTAGGAAAACGTCCTTCCGATTACCCTTCTCGTGTCATCGATTGGATCGTTTTCACTGTAACGTATCAATACTCGAAACATGCCGTTAGTTACCTTCGAAAAACACACTGATCGATTACAACAGCGACGTGGTCTTGTACGTTCATCGGAATGATGAACACCTCGAAATTCTCGGCAAGTGTCGTATTACTACAACGGTATTCAAAAGTCAATATCGTGAAATTCAACACGACTAAATAGAAGCCGTACACTGAAACGTTATTTCAAAAATGTCTTAATTTGCTTGTCGTCGATCGTGAAATATTCCCGCGCAAGGATTTTTCACAAGATGCACAACTATAGAATCTATAGTTACACATCTCCTGATACAGTTCAACCGATTGTATCGTATGTGTGTGCTTTTTTAGAAGCAAAATATGATATTCGAAAAGTATTGATTTTTTACGAATATTTCGATCTGATTCTAATCTAGACGCGGCGCTCCGTATGAATCTTTAAAAAACAACGTTAATCGTCCTCGTTTCGTGTGTTTTTACGACAGGATTTTTGTTTTACTTGTAATTATATTGTCTTGGTAGGATTGCCAATTAACAAAAAAAACGGCGTTGTCCGAGTGAAAGCGAATTTCTAGTAAATTGTTTTTGACAAAACGCGCGCTCAATGTGTTTTTTTTTTTTGGCAATGAAGTTCTCAGTGTAACCCGTTCCGGGAACTCGGCGAGCTTAATAAAAATTAACAAATAATTACATGACGTTCTTAAACGATACAGAGAAAATGTTTACACGGACATACACAATTATGTTTGAAATTCTCCCGACATCCGCGTACGGCCTTCAATTTTTTAATGGAAAAATTTTAATTGCGCTACGGAAACTGTTTGAATATCTGTTAAACCCTAATACAAATAATTGATTAACGTATTCTCGTTGACTAATAATTATTTCTAATAACTTTCAGGCGAAGCCATTCATTTGGCCCGTGACTTTGGATACGTTTGCGAGACGGAATTTCCGGCTAGACAAGTGGCCGAATACCTGAGCAGACCGCATACCAGCGACCCGACCGAGTCGTACAGGAGAAAAGAGCTTATACACGCCACAAAGTAAGCGGCCACGTCGACGTAAAATTTCTTATTGTTATTATCATTTTTTCTTTTCTTATCAAATTAGACAAGTGACCAAAGAGCTGATGGATCTGTTGAACCAAGACCGTTCACCGCTGTGCAACACCAGGCCCCAGCACATCTTGGACCCGATCATCCAGCGCCCGCTGACGCACTTTTCGCTCATATCGCACGGATTCGGTAGCCCAGCCATAGTGGCCGCCCTTACTGCCATACAGGTAAGCCAACACTCGGTCGACCGTCGGCTGTGATTTTGCTCTGGTCACGTGGACAGTCTGATGTTAATCACTCGTTTAAATGCGTTTCAGAATTTCCTGTCGGAGTCGTTAAAACATCTAGACAAAGTCTATCCGTCCGGCAACAGCTTGTCGTCGCAGCAAAATAATATGCAAGATCAAAAGCCAAAAGACCTAGTAGGGTTGGAGTTGAAAAAATGAGCCTGGTCTAGGCGGGCCCATGAACCTGCCGCCGGCAACGAACACAGTGCTCAGCGTTCGTCGCCGTACGCCTGTCAGTAACGGTCATGGCCGTCACCGATTGGCTCTTCGCCGCTACACACTTTAGCTGTATTATCTCATCGACACGGACAGCGTTACTGTAATTATCATATTACAAATTGTTTGGTTCTTACTTAGTGTTTTTACACTGTCGTTTTCGATGACAACTTATTTTATTGTTTAAATGGTACACGTATCATTCTGTTTTGTGTACATAAAAAATAGATTAATTTTTATTGTAAATAATCATTTTTTCCGACAATCGCTTGTGTGCTATGCTTATGCACGACTAGCACTATCATTCAATAGATCGTTAATACAAATGGAACAAATGTTTTGTTTTTTCTATGTACCCAAATCATAATTAAAAATGATTTCCCGCCTTTATGTGCCATTCTAGTTATGTCAATGTCATGCAATATTTGAAAATAATTAGAGTTACTTAAAAATACAATCATTAGCTACAATATTTTTTTATCGTGTTCCTTTGTCTAAAATTTTACAAGTATTTGTTGTTTTTTATTAAATTTTTCATTCCGTTTAAGTAGTTCACAGATTTGAACCAAAATTATTTAATCGTTTTTAAATAACTTTTTTAAGGCATGTTCAACATGGTTGAATTTTAACGCTAACCATTTATTCTGAATGTGTGTATAGATTCATAATCAAAATCGAAATGTAAAAACAAATTTGATCTAGTTCATAAATTCACTTATAATAATAAGTAATTATGTATATTTGTAATCGTCTTGCCATAATTTAAAACAAATGATCTTCGTCTTTATTTTTGTAATTATTTTAATAATTAGTGTTGCGCTGATAGTACTATAGCATTATCAGTGTAATAATTTATGTTATTATAGGATTTATTGCTATTTTTTATTTGTACATAATAATGTTTACCAGAGCCAAATCATATATTTTTTTGTCGTTTAAATTTCTTTTTGATGCTTACGTCAATTTTTTTTTTTGTTTTTATTTTAAACATAATGTGATATAGTTTTGAATTTGTATACCCCAAACGTAATACATAATTATTATAACGTAAATAATGTACAGCTATTATTATATTATTCATAAATTATTATATATAAAAACATACTTAACATAATATTATACACTGTAAATAATAATTAGAAAATATGTATCATTAAAACANTTTTTTTTTTATGTCTGTTGCCACTTTTTCTCAGCTCTCACTGGACCGATTTCTTTCAAAAATACATCAAAAGATCACAAATCGTATCTAGTTGAAGACATTACTCTTAAAAATTGAAAAAATTTCCCTCGTTCACCGCAAATGGGGGAAATATCCAAAAAAACTACAAACTTAAAAATTAGTAAATTTTGTCATTTTTTTCACTTTTTTTTCTTAAAACTTTCATAACTTTTTCAAAAATAAACAAATCAACATAATTTTTNTTTTCTTAAAACTTCCATAACTTTTTCAAAAATAAACAAATCAACATAATTTTTTTTTATACTAAAACCTTAGATATTTCCCTTTCATTTGATATAATTTTTTTGAAAATCTAACACTTAACTCATTGCTCATTGGGGGAGATTTAAAACGGCAACTTTTTTACAAAAACTAACTTTTTCAACTTAATTTTTGAAAATGTTCCGGAAATACTGCGTCCTTTAAACATATATCAAATTAAAGCTTATTTTGTGTACTATATAAAAAAAAAAAATTTGTCCCGACGATCTATCTTCTATGCGCAAATGGCTACCATATTCAAAAATATGCTATTTTAACAAATTTTTTTTTTTTTAATTAAACACTATCTACAGATTTGCATTGAAGCGTTTTTTATGATAGTGATTTTAATCACTGTCAGATATCATCTATACTGGACCCAAGTATGCCACGACCCCACTGTGCTGGGTTTTTTTTTATTGTTTGTTTTTAATAATAAAAATAAATTAATATTTTTAATTTGAAGTATATCTTGTAAATATATAGAACAGTGCGAACTGCCCCCCCCCACTCGTTTTACATAACTACTTTATATTTTTTAATGCTTTCAACTCGTCCAAAAATTATTTTGGACCAAGTAAAATGTTTAATAAGAAAAGCTTCAAAAACGGCTATTTTGAAATTATGAAATAAATAAATAAAAATTGAATTTTTTACTTTTATTTTTAAAAACAAATGATAGAAAATATGATTTTAGTATAATTAAACTTTTAATTTAGTATAACAGATGTTGTAAGATTTGTCAGAACATCGTGAACCACTCTGTACACTATGTAATGTTTCAAAAACTTAGTACAAATAAATGGAAAAATAAACTTCACAATTTGGACATTCGTATTAGCGACAGAAGAAATCTAAAATTTCAGTACCAGAAATTCAAGAGGATCACTTACAAGTAACAACACAAGTCTGATTAAAATCTTCTAGAACAGTTTTGGCGTCTACTTCGCTGACGAGACGCCGGACGTTGTTTCGCGACACCAGAACATATTTGTTGTACACAACTAGCCATGTAAAATTAGCGTAATAATCTTTTTCGAGAACATTCGCGGCACTGTTTTTGAGAATTTATAGACCAATTAAAAGAAGACATTATTTTTTATTTGTTTTTAGTATATTTTATATTTTTGCAAAATGGACTCGAATCCCAAATTTAGCTACGAATTAATAATTATAATTGAATTAGATAATTCCATCGAACGAACTTGATNATTAAAAGAAGACATTATTTTTTATTTGTTTTTAGTATATTTTATATTTTCGCAAAATGGACTCGAATCCCAAATTTAGCTACGAATTAATAATTATAATTGAATTAGATAATTCCATCGAACGAACTTGATAAAAATTGACAAATTATCCAATTTTATGTTTTCGAATTAACAAATTCTTTAGAGTTTTACTTAGAAATAACCAAATTTATAATTTAAGTCCAATTTACAGTAGTTATATAAAATTTTTTTTGACTGGGTATTTTTTCATTTCATTTACAATAAAGAATTTTTGGAGGGTCATTAATTTTAGTATTTGAATAACAAATTAAGTATAAAAAGCCATTGAAATACAGAAAAGCCCCAGAAATTAAAAAACGATAAAAATATGAAAAAAACATTAAGGAGCTATAGAAATGCACATAAATTGAGAAACCATACAACTATTTTTTATTTGAATGATTTTAGAGAAAGATTGATAATTTTGTTATCATGTCACCAAGTAAAAAGTAATTATTTTTCAATTATACATTTAATAAATATTTATTTTTTCAAATAATTTTCAATTTTGATTAAATATATTAAATTATTTAGTTCCAGTTTTTTTTTTTAATTTATTTTCCCGTAATAATCTACAGAGGAATATTCTCACGAAGTCCTAGTACGGCGCATGGATACTTAAAACTATATAGCGGCCTAAAATATAATTTGTGTAAATTCGTTGCTTGTCATTACGATTATCTAATGGTAGATAGCCGTTATAGTAGTAGATCTACCAGTAGAATAGAACTGTACGCACGTGTACTTGTATGAAATGTTAATCTCGCACATTTTTACATGAGCGGCAAGTCCAACACCACCTTGCAGTTATCATTCGTTAATGGGCTACTATAGTCCCACTAACGACAAATCGTTGCAGTTGCGTTCAAATTTTTATATCAGTGTGCCTAATGGTGGTGGGCTAGAACGTAGGTGTTCCATGCAATGCAGTGTAGTGACTGTTCTCCCAGTAGTCTTGTCGCATCACGTGACACTATACGTAAAAACATCACGGCTACAAGGAACCGCTGCACGGCATCTCCACGCACCATAATATTTATACATCGATTGTCATACATTCCTGGTACTAAATTTAGATATTTGTAAAAATACACTACGGTTTAAAACACGGACGCTGTTCTAAAATCGTGTCAATCGCATTATCTCATGAGTTCCTGGTACTAAATTTTAATCTACGAGTGTTCTATGAAATTATACGCAAGTATAATTTCGATTTTTAGCAGATTTCTTATACGAGGACGTGACCACGTAAAATTTCAGGTTGAATCCCATCGCGATATGAACAAATGACGTGCNAATCCCATCGCGATATGAACAAATGACGTGCCTAACATACAATTTTCAAAGCATAGTAAAAATGTTCATTATGGTATTACCCTCTTCGCTAAAAAAATCCTAAGCATGCCACTTGATGAAATGTACAGAATGTCACAGATCTAATTGATCTTATTTATCATTTCGTTTCAACATTTTTTATTATTTTTATAAACGCGTATGGAATATACGAACACCAGTATGGACTGCACCTACCCTCACAACATGCCCATTCTATTTATTTATGTATTCTTAAACTAGGGTCATCCATCTAATTATGAATGCAAAAAACGACAAGTATTGATTTATCCTGACTACTATGAGTTGTATTGGATATATGATTTAGTGAAACAATTAATCTACTAATAAGTTAAAACTGTGATTGGGTAATTTCATTAAAAACCAAAAGTAGTAGTTAAGCACAATAAATAAAACATCATAATAAAGATTAAAATTTTTTAATAAATATAGTTTTTATAACACTGTAATATATAATATAAATACTATTAATTTTACTAGTTATTAAATAAGAAAGTATAAAATTGCTTCTACAATATATAAAACTATTTTTTTTTCCATCAAGTTTAATGAATGACAAAAAATAACTCAATTACATATTAATACAGGTTTCTTCACAATGTAAGTCTATAGTAAAAAAAAATGAATTATACACATTTAATTAAAAAGGCCAGTGCCTAATAAAATAAGAAAAATATTATATTACTCTTTACTATTGAATAAAAATGTTTTCTTCTCAGAGTTTGTCATTCAGAAGGTAGCTCCTACACAAACAAAAGACAACTTTTTGTTATAGCTATCAAAATAAAAAAAATTGAATGTTATAACAAAATTAACAAATAACAATAAAATATATATATATATATATTAACTGTGAAAAATAATATCACCATCTAAAGATAAAATGGTCCTTATTAAAGTTTGATGGTTTAAAAATAGATGTTAGAGTATACTTAGTTTTGAAATTTGTAGCAAATTGTAATGTATCAATAGTAGATATAATGTCATATCTAATAAGAAATTTCAAGTTTATTTCTTGAATGTCACAAAAAAAAAAAAAATGAATTGTAAATCAAATACAGAAACTATCTAAAAAAAAGGATCAATTATAAATTTTAATGTCTCTTTATGTTAATGAAATATAGTATTTTTTTCTTCTGATAAATGGTTTTAGATTGTGAATTTAATCATTAATGTTTTTGATTATACATAAGATTAAAATTGATTATTAACTGATTTTAACAAGAGAAAATTTATTTTTAATATTGACAAATGCCAGATATTATTTTACTTAATTGTTTCTATTCATTTTAAGATTAATTGATTTGTATATTTAAACAGAAAGTATAAGCACAATGTACAATATTTGTTTTATAAGATAAAACTTTTTTGTTTAATAAAAAAGTAAAAAAAAATCTTTGAAAATATTGCAAGGTGTTATTAATATAATTAAATTGACATAGGATATGTTGAATCATAATAATTTCAATCTGATATATTATTGAATTAGGTTTTATATTTTGGTCATAACTATGCATAATAAAAGAATCAAACAATTTTAATACTTTATATTTTAAACAAGAGAATGATCTCTCAAATTCTAGTTTCTTCTTTATCATCATGTAAATTCAATTAATGATTTAGGTTTTTCTGTCCAGCAACCCAAATTCTTTTTAGCTTCCATCCATTTTGAATTGTAATTTAATGCTTCTGATTTCACTTTACCATACGTTATGCCATTATCAGTTTTTTTTAAAGATTTAAAAATGTCAAATAAAGACTTTTTACAAACTAATGGCATATTACTTTTTTTATTCATTGTCTTTTTTGTTACACCTTGTTTATGACCATCCACTAACACTTCGTAATAACTATAAAAAAAATTGTATATTGATCATAAAATATATATAACATTTATTAAATTTATTACTTGTTAAAAAAAGCTATTTGAATGACATAAATTAATGAACAAAAATTTTTATACTTGTTTTAAATGTAGTTTGATTTAGTACAAAATTATGTTTTTATCATATAACACAATTTGTACCTTGAAGGTAAAGAAACCATTTACATAGAGTTAGTCCCTTGTCATTTTTCATTCTGTGTATAGGACACTATTACTTCTAGAAATAATGTTCACTAATAGTAATAGTACAGTTATCATAAATAGCAAAAGTAAAACGACATAAAATCAATGCTTATCTACTTTGATGAAAGTATAACAGCTTTCATGTGATCTTTTGACATGTTATTCTTATGAAGAAGGGATGTAATTTTTTTTTAATAAATGGAAAATAAATTTAAAAATAAATAGATAAATAAAGAAAAAAGTAAAGGCAGCAAACGTAAGTATTTTTTTAACAAGTAGTTAAATGTTTAAACTATTTAACAGTTTTACATATTTATTTTGAGTTTTCTTCAAATGAATGAAGAATTACTCAAAATTATATTTTGGCACATATTACATTATTGATTTCAAGCCTTCATTAACTCACAGTATAAATAATAACCTGTTTTCAATCTCATTAGTTATCCTCCAAATTATACTTAGAGGACATGCTTTACTGTTTAAATTACTACTATGTTTGGAATATTGAAAATTCAAGCTTGACTGAAGTAAAGTGGGACATTTTTCTTTAGGTATGTTCAGTCTTCCAACCACAGCTCTATATAGTGCATTATATGAATATGGACACTGACCGCTAATAGTAATTGATGACAAATAAATTGGTTCTATAAGTAATGACAACATAGCACCCTAAATATATATATATATTTTTTTTATATATTAGTGTTCTTTTTTCCATGAAATATAAATAATAAATTTAATTTAACCTGAAGTCCAACGTAATTCCACCTTAAAATTTTGTCACTACAAGATACTGAAAGTGTAGGATCACCGCGTCCTGGCTTAGTTCGTACAGCAGAAATTGTGTGGTAAGCAATCCCAGGATATTTAAGGTCTTGTTTAGTTTCCTGGACTAAACATTTAGCCCCAGTACGATAAATATCATTTAATTTTTGTTTTTTTATACAAGGCTCACAATTAGTTTCAGAAAAATCATTTTTAAAATGATCATCTTTAAGAAAAATTGAAGCATCACCACAAGGAGTATGACTAGAGAATAGATGAAATTTAATACCAGGCTTTAAAATTAAACGTGAATTTATTGAATCAACCTCAAAAATTGAAGAATTGCCAGTATAAGATGATTTTATTTCACCAAGTAAATAATGAATAAGAGCTCGTCGACATAGTACCTTAAATTAAAAATTTGTTCAGAATTATCATTAATGAATAAATAAGAGAAGATACCTCTGCATGACTATCATTCAATACTAATCCATTACTTGTGAGTTTATTTTTTCCAATACATTTAGTACCGGTGGCTAAACTAACAACTTTCAGGTTATTTTCATTTACAGACTGGACAATTCCAGACAACAATGTCCATTCTTTACCTTCTATCGGCTTTCCCTTAGAAGGTAATGCGAAATACTTGTCAAAACAGAGTTGGGTTAATTTATTGGCAAATTCTTCATTTAAAATAAGTGGCATGTTAATAAATATTTTAAAGTAATTTATTATAATTTAATTTAACACGTAAAAACGTTTATATTTAAAAAAATATAAACAATTATCGTTTCAAATCAAAGTTTACTATTTCAAAATATAAAATGACAACGAAGTCTTTAACTCAATAAGAATTATCACGAGTATGAAGTTAGTTGTGATATTTCACAATCCTTATCATAGGATAAAAAAAAATCATTATCACCTGCTACTCAAAATATGAACAATTATTCACATAGTAATTTGAACCTATTATCTACAGAGTTATCTCAATGGATTTATGAAAAACTTAATATACAAGAAGACATAAACGAAATATATATTGCTACATCAGAAATTTTATGGTATTTATTACACAAATTGATGACAAATAATGATATTAGTTTCTTAATAACTTAATGTGGATCTTCGCATATATGTTTTTCAGTGAAAGACAAAAGTTGTGGGATACTTCTAGAGATATACTAAATCAAATTGGTTTAGAAAACTGTAACCGAAAATACCAAACAAGCTTTGATTACTTAGCTACTATACGATCAATGGGTCGAATAAACCAAGGAAATCAGCCCTCTGGTAATTTAAGACAATCCCGTGCATTTCCTTATTTGAAGCGTATTAATATTGATGTTGACGATGATAAATTAAAACAACTATGTGATTCACTCTGTATAAATAATAAAGATAATAAATCTAATGAAGTGTTAGATCAGTTTTAATGTCTTCATTTGCATATATGAGTAAAATTTTACCAAATTGTATAAGTTAATTTAATATTGTAAATTATTAATATTTTATTTGTATTTTTTAAATAAACGTACGTACCACTTCCAGACATATGTTTACATACTTGAATTGCTATTTGTTTTTATAAGATAACTGATACAATTATTCAGTTGTGTGTGAATTATATTAAAAGTATTCTAAATTTGTGTCAATACATTAAAGGGAGTAAAATCACTAATATACACCACCTCTACAATACCATAAATATTACTGTTATAAAGATCATTATAACTCAATTATATTTGGTTTCAATAATTTTATAATTATGAAGTGACTTTATTTATTATTCAAATACCTATCACAATTCCAATTTAATATGTAATTGAAAATTAAGATTCATAAACAACAAAACATGTAATTATTTTAATAAACAATTATTTTATTTTAAAAAATCAGTCTTTATACACAATGTACATTGAGTAACATTATTTTTCTCTAAATAAATTTCTATAACATTTAAATATACATTATGAAATCACATCACTATGTACAATTTTTACAATATGAAGTTTGTTTTAATTTACATTATTTATTTAGTCTACTTCTTCGACTGTTGGTCCGTTTGATTGCGCTCCAGGAAAACCACAGTTTCCTGACATTTGGGCACTACCACCTCTTTGTTCTCCATGCATTTTCATCATCAATGCAGAACACTTGCCTTGTAATTCTTTAAGTTTATTCTCATATTCTTCCTTATCAGCCAACTGATTATTGTCTAACCATTGTACCACAGCGTCACATTCTTGCCTTGCAGTGTTCTTTTCTGATTGACTCAATTTATCTCCTGCATCATCCAAAGCTTGTTTCACACCAAAGACATAGCTCTCCAATTGGTTTTTAGCTGCTATTTTGATCTTTTGTTTTTCATCTTCGTCTTTGTACTTCTCAGCTTCACTAAGCATACGGTCAATTTCTGCTTGAGACAATCTGCCTTTGTCGTTCTTGATGACAATGTTTTTCGAACGTCCTGAGCTGTTGTCTTTGGCCGATACATTCAAGATACCATTGGCGTCTAAGTCAAAAGTAACATCTATTTTAGGTACTCCTCTTGGTGCTGGAGGTATTCCGGTCAAGTCAAAAGTTCCCAAAAGATTATTGTCTTTAGTCATAGTCCTCTCTCCTTCAAATACTTGAATAGTGACGGCTGGTTGATTATCTGCATAAGTAGTAAAAGTTTGAGTCTGTTTGCACGGAATTGTAGTATTTCTTTCAACAATTTTGGTCATAACGCCACCTGCAGTTTCAATTCCTAAAGAGAGTGGTGTCACATCGACGAGCAAAACATCTTGAATTGCAGAACTGGTATCTCCACTTAGTATGGCTGCTTGAACAGCAGCACCATATGCTACTGCCTCATCCGGATTGATGGATAGATTGAGAGACTTACCACAAAAGTAGTTCTGCAACAAACTTTGAATCTTAGGAATTCTAGTAGAACCGCCAACTAATACTACATCATGTATTGCTCCTTTGTCCAGTTTAGCATCAGCCAATGCCTTTTCAACAGGTTGTAGAGTTGATCTGAACAAATCGGCACAAAGTTCTTCAAAACGAGCTCTTGAAACTCTTGTATAAAAATCAATACCTTCCATCAATGCATCAATCTCTATCGTAGCTTCTGAACTTGAAGACAGTGTTCTTTTGGCTCTTTCAACAGCAGTTCTAAGACGTCTTAAAGCTCTTGGATTTGTTTTCACATCTTTTTTGAACTTGCGCTTGAACTCCTCAGCTAGATGAGACACTAATCTATTATCAAAATCTTCACCTCCCAGATGAGTATCGCCAGCTGTAGATTTAACTTCAAATATTGATCCCTCATCAATTTGTAGGACTGATACATCAAAGGTCCCACCACCCAAATCGAATATCAATACATTTCTCTCACCCTTCAAGTTCTTGTCCAAACCATACGCCAATGCAGCAGCTGTGGGCTCATTGATTATTCTCATTACATTCAAGCCAGCAATCACGCCAGCATCCTTTGTGGCTTGTCTTTGAGAATCATTGAAATAAGCTGGTACCGTTATTACAGCATCAGTAACACTCTTACCCAAGTATGCTTCAGCAGTCTCTTTCATTTTGGTTAAAACCATTGAACTTATTTCTTCTGGAGCAAACACTTTACGTTCACCTTTGAATTCGACTTGGATTTTCGGTTTACCACAGTCACTGATCACTTTGAACGGCCAATGTTTCATGTCAGCTTGAGTTTTTTCGTCATCAAATCGTCTGCCAATTAATCTCTTAGCGTCGAACACAGTGTTGTACGGATTCATAGCTACTTGATTTTTCGCTCCGTCTCCGATCAACCGTTCTGTGTCTGTAAATGCAACATAACTAGGTGTCGTCCGATTTCCTTGGTCGTTGGCGATGATCTCCACTTTTCCATTTTGCCACACTCCGACACAAGAATAAGTGGTTCCTAGATCAATTCCAATGGCTGTTTTTCCGACCATTATTAAACAATTGATATACTTATTAAACAGTCAAAAGGAAACTCAGATGAAGTTAACAATAAAATAAACACACACTAAAATTAAATCGCTTGAGATATTGTAAATGCCAATTATATCGTTTAACTTCACAACGAACAACTCGCACTTTGTATTAGTACTGATGCCGAGTGAACTACTAGCCGCGTATATATATCCTCGTAGAATTTTCTAGAACGTTCGGCGGCGTTCGAGTCGTTTCGACGCTGCTCCCTTCGTCTCTCGCTAATAGAACAATATTATTGTGAGGTGTAGAATCTTCTCGAATTTTCTATGATCCTAAAAATATAACAACTCATTTCAAAAATAATTCTGAATCATTTTTCTCAATTTTTTAATATTTTATATTAAAAGAGTTGAAAAAAGTAAGTTAAGTTAGAGCAGAGAAAATATAGCATAATAAGTTTAAATTTTTTTGCATTTTGTAAGTCGATAAAAATAAATTTGAAATTTGAACTAGCTTAAATTTGTAACTTTTTCAGTCGACGGAAGCGACATACAGTTCTCCAGTCGTTATTACCCTGAAAAATTGAAAATAAATTCTTATCTATCAATTAAACAGTTACTTATCCCATGTTCTCCATACAGACAATTAAAATCATTAAATTAATCATTTATATAATTCATATAACTAATATAATAAAAATTGTTTTATTACACAATCGCTCTATCAAAAAAAGAAAAAATTCACATCTTTTATAAAAGATCTTTTAACAATTAAATATTAACCCTTAAACAGTCGCGTGGGGGTCTAACATACATATTAAAAAACGGATGTATTATATTGCATAAAAGGTGTACATAGATATAAATTTAGAAGATGGTGTTTATAGTAATATTCATTTGATTTTCATAAATAAATACCTTCAAAAAAAAAAAATGTATGACTTAAATATCCATCAAATTTGAAATGGTTCATATTTACCCCCACGCGACTTGTAACGTTATAATTTTTTTTTGGACTTGCATTTTTTTCAAAATATCGGTTTATCGTAAATGAAAAATATAAATAAGTATAAGACAGTAAATAAAAGCTTTTACAATTACAAAATGTATTTTTATTAATTTTTCTTGTATTTCTTTGAGCTCAAACATGGCTTATATTTATTGTTTTATGTGTATTTACCATTAACATAATCATTTTTCTGAATTGAATTTTTTTATAATTAATATTACAATACAATTTAATTATTATAATACGATTAGGGTCAGTAGGGGTAAATGTGAATAGTGGTAATTGTAAATGAGGCACCGATAATCAATGTGTCCACATTGCGATGGGATGTATTTATTACATGTTTAGTTCGTATTTGTTCAGTATCATCAAGTAGTGGAAATTCTCAATAGATTATTTATTTTTAAAACTTAATTGCACAGTCGGTGGCAGATCCACATATACACATTCCACATTATTATATCGATTATAACATTGCATTTACGATAAACCGATATTTTGAAAAAAATGCAAGTCCAAAAAAAAATTATAACGTTACAAGTCGCGTGGGGGTAAATATGAACCATTTCAAATTTGATGGATATTTAAGTCATACATTTTTTTTTTTTGAAGGTATTTATTTATGAAAATCAAATGAATATTACTATAAACACCATCTTCTAAATTTATATCTATGTACACCTTTTATGCAATATAATACATCCGTTTTTTNTTTATATCTATGTACACCTTTTATGCAATATAATACATCCGTTTTTTAATATGTATGTTAGACCCCCACGCGACTGTTTAAGGGTTAATATTTAATTGTTAAAAGATCTTTTATAAAAGATGTGAATTTTTTCTTTTTTTGATAGAGCGATTGTGTAATAAAACAATTTTTATTATATTAGTTATATGAATTATATAAATGATTAATTTAATGATTTTAATTGTCTGTATGGAGAACATGGGATAAGTAACTGTTTAATTGATAGATAAGAATTTATTTTCAATTTTTCAGGGTAATAACGACTGGAGAACTGTATGTCGCTTCCGTCGACTGAAAAAGTTACAAATTTAAGCTAGTTCAAATTTCAAATTTATTTTTATCGACTTACAAAATGCAAAAAAATTTAAACTTATTATGCTATATTTTCTCTGCTCTAACTTAACTTACTTTTTTCAACTCTTTTAATATAAAATATTAAAAAATTGAGAAAAATGATTCAGAATTATTTTTGAAATGAGTTGTTATATTTTTAGGATCATAGAAAATTCGAGAAGATTCTACACTTCACAATAATATTGTTCTATTAGCGAGAGACGAAGGGAGCAGCGTCGAAACGACTCGAACGCCGCCGAACGTTCTAGAAAATTCTACGAGGATATATATACGCGGCTAGTAGTTCACTCGGCATCAGTACTAATACAAAGTGCGAGTTGTTCGTTGTGAAGTTAAACGATATAATTGGCATTTACAATATCTCAAGCGATTTAATTTTAGTGTGTGTTTATTTTATTGTTAACTTCATCTGAGTTTCCTTTTGACTGTTTAATAAGTATATCAATTGTTTAATAATGGTCGGAAAAACAGCCATTGGAATTGATCTAGGAACCACTTATTCTTGTGTCGGAGTGTGGCAAAATGGAAAAGTGGAGATCATCGCCAACGACCAAGGAAATCGGACGACACCTAGTTATGTTGCATTTACAGACACAGAACGGTTGATCGGAGACGGAGCGAAAAATCAAGTAGCTATGAATCCGTACAACACTGTGTTCGACGCTAAGAGATTAATTGGCAGACGATTTGATGACGAAAAAACTCAAGCTGACATGAAACATTGGCCGTTCAAAGTGATCAGTGACTGTGGTAAACCGAAAATCCAAGTCGAATTCAAAGGTGAACGTAAAGTGTTTGCTCCAGAAGAAATAAGTTCAATGGTTTTAACCAAAATGAAAGAGACTGCTGAAGCATACTTGGGTAAGAGTGTTACTGATGCTGTAATAACGGTACCAGCTTATTTCAATGATTCTCAAAGACAAGCCACAAAGGATGCTGGCGTGATTGCTGGCTTGAATGTAATGAGAATAATCAATGAGCCCACAGCTGCTGCATTGGCGTATGGTTTGGACAAGAACTTGAAGGGTGAGAGAAATGTATTGATATTCGATTTGGGTGGTGGGACCTTTGATGTATCAGTCCTACAAATTGATGAGGGATCAATATTTGAAGTTAAATCTACAGCTGGCGATACTCATCTGGGAGGTGAAGATTTTGATAATAGATTAGTGTCTCATCTAGCTGAGGAGTTCAAGCGCAAGTTCAAAAAAGATGTGAAAACAAATCCAAGAGCTTTAAGACGTCTTAGAACTGCTGTTGAAAGAGCCAAAAGAACACTGTCTTCAAGTTCAGAAGCTACGATAGAGATTGATGCATTGATGGAAGGTATTGATTTTTATACAAGAGTTTCAAGAGCTCGTTTTGAAGAACTTTGTGCCGATTTGTTCAGATCAACTCTACAACCTGTTGAAAAGGCATTGGCTGATGCTAAACTGGACAAAGGAGCAATACATGATGTAGTATTAGTTGGCGGTTCTACTAGAATTCCTAAGATTCAAAGTTTGTTGCAGAACTACTTTTGTGGTAAGTCTCTCAATCTATCCATCAATCCGGATGAGGCAGTAGCATATGGTGCTGCTGTTCAAGCAGCCATACTAAGTGGAGATACCAGTTCTGCAATTCAAGATGTTTTGCTCGTCGATGTGACACCACTCTCTTTAGGAATTGAAACTGCAGGTGGCGTTATGACCAAAATTGTTGAAAGAAATACTACAATTCCGTGCAAACAGACTCAAACTTTTACTACTTATGCAGATAATCAACCAGCCGTCACTATTCAAGTATTTGAAGGAGAGAGGACTATGACTAAAGACAATAATCTTTTGGGAACTTTTGACTTGACTGGAATACCTCCAGCACCAAGAGGAGTACCTAAAATAGATGTTACTTTTGACTTAGACGCCAATGGTATCTTGAATGTATCGGCCAAAGACAACAGCTCAGGACGTTCGAAAAACATTGTCATCAAGAACGACAAAGGCAGATTGTCTCAAGCAGAAATTGACCGTATGCTTAGTGAAGCTGAGAAGTACAAAGACGAAGATGAAAAACAAAAGATCAAAATAGCAGCTAAAAACCAATTGGAGAGCTATGTCTTTGGTGTGAAACAAGCTTTGGATGATGCAGGAGATAAATTGAGTCAATCAGAAAAGAACACTGCAAGGCAAGAATGTGACGCTGTGGTACAATGGTTAGACAATAATCAGTTGGCTGATAAGGAAGAATATGAGAATAAACTTAAAGAATTACAAGGCAAGTGTTCTGCATTGATGATGAAAATGCATGGAGAACAAAGAGGTGGTAGTGCCCAAATGTCAGGAAACTGTGGTTTTCCTGGAGCGCAATCAAACGGACCAACAGTCGAAGAAGTGGACTAAATAAATAATGTAAATTAAAACAAACTTCATATTGTAAAAATTGTACATAGTGATGTGATTTCATAATGTATATTTAAGTGTTATAGAAATTTATTTAGAGAAAAATAATGTTACTCAATGTACATTGTGTATAAAGACTGATTTTTTAAAATAAAATAATTGTTTATTAAAATAATTACATGTTTTGTTGTTTATGAATCTTAATTTTCAATTACATATTAAATTGGAATTGTGATAGGTATTTGAATAATAAATAAAGTCACTTCATAATTATAAAATTATTGAAACCAAATATAATTGAGTTATAATGATCTTTATAACAGTAATATTTATGGTATTGTAGAGGTGGTGTATATTAGTGATTTTACTCCCTTTAATGTATTGACACAAATTTAGAATACTTTTAATATAATTCACACACAACTGAATAATTGTATCAGTTATCTTATAAAAACAAATAGCAATTCAGGTATGTAAACATATGTTTGGAAGTGGTACGTACGTTTATTTAAAAAATACAAATAAAATATTAATAATTTACAATATTAAATTAACTTATACAATTTGGTAAAATTTTACTCATATATGCAAATGAAGACATTAAAACTGATCTAACACTTCATTAGATTTATTATCTTTATTATTTATACAGAGTGAATCACATAGTTGTTTTAATTTATCATCGTCAACATCAATATTAATACGCTTCAAATAAGGAAATGCACGGGATTGTCTTAAATTACCAGAGGGCTGATTTCCTTGGTTTATTCGACCCATTGATCGTATAGTAGCTAAGTAATCAAAGCTTGTTTGGTATTTTCGGTTACAGTTTTCTAAACCAATTTGATTTAGTATATCTCTAGAAGTATCCCACAACTTTTGTCTTTCACTGAAAAACATATATGCGAAGATCCACATTAAGTTATTAAGAAACTAATATCATTATTTGTCATCAATTTGTGTAATAAATACCATAAAATTTCTGATGTAGCAATATATATTTCGTTTATGTCTTCTTGTATATTAAGTTTTTCATAAATCCATTGAGATAACTCTGTAGATAATAGGTTCAAATTACTATGTGAATAATTGTTCATATTTTGAGTAGAACTATCTCTTATTGTTATTTCATTCCAAAATGGTTGAGGATCTAAGAAGGTGTAGTTCTATAAAAGTATATCAATATTAGAATAAAATTTTTATCTATATAAGGTAGCATTAAATTTTTAAAAATGTTCAAATATGTTTTTTGTAAATTTCTCTTAGTCTTTATATCTAAGTGGGGTTACCCCTAACAAGTTGAAGATTTCATATATTTGGGTAGCACTATAAGCTTAGAAGTGAGACTCAAAAAGGAAATTATAAAGATAATATGCCTAGCTAATGTGGCATTTAATAAGAAAAGATGTATTTTTACTTCAAAAAACATTGACCAAAATATAAAAGAGAATCTGCTGATAGAATTGTTAATGAGAAAGTTTTAGAAAGGATATCTGAGAGGAAATTTATTATGGAAGAGTATACAGAACAGGCGAAATTAATTAGATTGAATACTGTAGAAGACAAAGATCCCTTATTAAATTTAGTTTTATTGTGGGCTATGTATTGGGTAAAATTGATTTAATGCAAGGGGTTTATAGACCATTAATAAAAATTAATACTTAATAAATTTGGAACTGAAATTATTTTACTTGAGTTTTGGTAAAAATCAAATTCAATTTTGATAGTTCATCTAAGTACTGAGACAAAGAAGATATATTTTCAGCTAGATCAGTCTTTTTATTTTTTGAAGAGTTTATTTTGTAGCATCCAGTTGTTGTTGGCCAATTCCACCAGGTTGAATTAATACTTAGATTATGAGTTACAGCAGACTTTAAAATATCCTATAAATTTACAATCAACAGTGCTCAAATATGTAATACCTGTTTATTTAATTATACAATATGCTTATAGTATTTTAAAATGGACAATGGAGTTGTTATAAATAATAATTATGTTAATTTTGTAGATTAAATTTATATAAAAATATATTATAAAATCTTTTAAATTTATATTACTATTCCATAAATAATTATGTAATTAGGGTCACATATATTATTTCTTATGTTTAACTTTTGGATACTATTCATTCCTTACTATTATTGTATTAAAATGGATTTGAAAAGTGTCTCCATTATAATGTACTATACATGCAAGGTTCAAAGGATAACACTTGTGTTCTCTTAAATGTGGCTGTTAATAAAATAAAAAAACTTTTTTACCTGCTTCAATTCTCCACTTTTTACCATATATTCTAACTGAATTATACTCTGCCTTATGTCGGGTTTATAGATATGAATTAATGAGTCTGTTATTTTATCTGTTACTACAGCACCCTCATTTAGTGCTATTAAATGAAGTAAACACTCTAAAAAATAATTATTATGTATTAATTGAATAAAATGATAAATATGATGACTTACTTAAATAATCTCTAGTTGGGTACTCAAAAAATAGTATTAATTCATTAGAGTTGAAAAATTTAAGTAAATGATTACTAAATGGATCATTAATTACTAAAATAAGTGGCCTTTTAGAATCAGTTCCTAATGTAGACAACGCAGAAATAAATCCATCATCATAATTTTCAAAAATAATATCAGCCTGAAAAATTAAACGTTTATTATAATAATTTTATTTAATATATTTATAACTTGTCTTACATCTTCTATAAGTATAATAGTCATTTTTTCTTTTTTGCATTCTTGTTTTTTAACATTCTTAATATTTTTTTTTTTTTCTATAAAAATAAAAATTAGGAGCATATATTACAAAATTAATTTAATAATATATTGAATACCTTTAACCATATTGAAAATAGGATTTTTTTTTACTGCATGAGACTGGGTTGCTTCTATTAAATCTGTTAAAATACGTTTTCCATTTCGATTACACGAAGCATTCAATTCAATAATCTTAAAATAAAAAAAAATTACTTTAATTATTTAAAATTTAAAATTGTATTTTTATAGATTGTTATCATGAGCCTAAAAATGTTAACATAAAAAAACCTCAGATTTAATGAATTGTTATCATAGTAAAATGTGTTCTCAAAGGACATTTAAATTGTTTTATCAACAAAACAAGTAATTATTATAATATTTATAATTTTTTTATATTTGTTCAATTTAATTCAAAAAAATTAAACAATGAATTACATTTGCATCAAGTTCACTAGCAACAGCATAAACAGCAGCAGTTTTTCCACAGCCAATAGGTCCAACAAGAATTGCTATGTTATGAGGAACTTTATGAGTATTGTTACTATCATTATTGTCGATAAAGTCATGATCATAATATTTATCTAAAAAATAAAATAATTAACACTACAATTTATGAAACTATTTCATAAGAATAAATGTAGTATTATATTCATTCACCTACTAACATTTAATGTTTTTATTATGCTCGCTTTTCTTATATGATTCCAACCATTTTTTCAATTTTTTTACTAAAACACTATTACTTAAAACTTCTGTATTAGAAATTGGTTTATACTTATTAATCCATAGATTTTCACCTTCAATAGAATTTTTCATGGCTAGCACACATTGTTTTTTCAATTTTTTGTACGTATCAGAAACAGGAAAATCTGGTACCTATGAAATAATTACGTTTATTTAATTTAAATATTTAATAATAATTTATATTTTTCTAAAAACATACAATCTTTTTCAAAGATGATAAAATTGATGAAATATTATTAGATTTTGTATATGGTTGTAATGTTAGACACTTAGAATTTGAGCTCAATGTATTGCATAGAAGATCAGAACTTCTAATAATATTGTCATGCAACACTGGATCTTTAAGAATCATTTTAATTATTGAGTTATTATGTGATATTGACCAATTAGCATGAGTTATTTTTGGAAAAAGACATAACTCTTCAAAAAAGAAACTGTTATAATTTAAACATTCATTCTTTCTGCAAAAAAAAAAATTTTGTATTAATAAATTTAGCTAAATAGTTATACACTAATAATTTTATACATGAAATATTAAAATTATAAACATCTAAATGCAGTAATTTATAACAAGATGAGAACATACGGAATAACGGACTAAACTTGACATAGGTTTATGAATCACTGCTAATGTATAATGGTAAGTATTATAACATAGTACACTAAAATATTCTGTTTCCAAAATAGCGGGACAATCAATCTTACTATTTATTATTTTTGATATAAATGAAACATCGAAAAATTCCTACTGTTTGACAAAGGTTCTGAATTATATAACCTAGCTATTTCATTCAAAGGTTTATCTAAACTTTAACTTTATATCTTAAGAGATATAAAAATCTATTTTGAATTTCATCCAACATATTATTTAATCCTATTCAATTAGAATTCCATACTGTTGAATCTAACAAAATTCCTGAGTGCACTAAATAGCAGTTAATACTTTTAAGCATATAGGATTAAACAATTTTTGAAAATTACGCTTAATAAAAGTTAGGTTCAAGGCTTTATTATAGATGTGTTCTATGTATACATTAAACGATAAGTCAAATGACATAAATATACCTAGATCTTTTATACATTCACTAGTGTGAGAATATTCTTGTCTATTTATTCACATTGATGTCTAAAGTATTATTGTAACATCAAACAGAAAAATCATTAAGGTCTTTTTGGTGTAACTTATAATCTTCATAAGATGATATAGATTTGTAGGTTTAAATTCATCAGCAAATAGATAATTGCTATGACGAAAAATTGTATTTACATCATTAATAATATTTAGTTTCCAAAAAAAAAAATTTTAAATTGATACATACTCTTCTGCACAAATATTTATAAAGCTTGAATTTCCTATTTTTTTTTCATTTTTCATACAAAGTAGTAATGTAGGGTCACTTTTTCTGATTTTATTTATAGTTATTTTTTTGTTTGGTAAAATCATTAAGTTGTCTTCTTCATCAATTTTATTTTCATTAACATTTAGTGTTTTACCAAAATAAGCAAAAAACGCTTTCTTTTGTTTTGAATCTCCGTTACAGATGGTGGTAGATTTTTCTTTTAATGATAGTGTATCACGCTTTTCTTTAGCGATTTTTTTCTTTTTGTTATCTGTGAAAATCCCATCATCACAAGATCTTTTAGCTGGTCTTCCAGCCATGTTAATCAAAATGAAAAACTAATTATAACCACAGTTATCTCATTGTAGCCACTAAAAAAATCAATCGTTAAAAAAAGGGATTCAAGGATCGTTGATAAACATCATTAGCAATCAAATTTACTTCATATCAAAAACAGAAAATAAATTCCCGCTTTTTTTTTATCGTGTATACAAGTCAGATTGACAAAGACGACTACAGATATGGATAATAAAATAGATTGCTAAGTGTTCTATATTGCCAATGTTGGCGATTGAAGCCATTTAGAGGTCATTTTTTTTGGACAAACATTATCATTCTCTATATTTTGTGTACGTGAATATACAATATTAACTACAATATAAATAAATTAGTATCGTGTATCTATGTTCGTGTATAAATATATTGTTATGAAATCAAAAAAGTTCTAGATAACAATTTTTTTTAATTTGATAACAAAATGTTTAGCTTAAAACCATAGATCTTATAAACATGGATAGGACATTCAAAATTGAGGCCTTTGTGTTTTCACGGTCCTGAACTGATATGAACATGAGGCCGTTTATTTACATTTTAATTGTGATAAGCACATAAAATACTGTTTTTTTAATTTTGTAATAAGTTATAAATTATACCTTATAACTTTTACATTATTATAAATTACATAACTCATACTAATTATTTATTACTAACCATTAAATAATAAAAAGTAAAATCTTATCATGTAATAATGCAGACAAATAGCCTCAATTTACTATCACCATAGTCTTCACTGATAACGCAACAATGTCCTATCCATGTTAATAAGATCTATGCTTAAACAAAATGGCTCTCAAATTGCTTCATCTGTTATCATGTCTGTTATGAGTAACTCATAAAAACTAATAACTTTAACTCAGTAAAACTAAATTATTAACAGTTAATAATTTAGTTTTACATCTGTGGGGACTACTACAAGCTAAGGTCCAAGCTATAGTACCACAGATAAATTTTAAGTTTTATCTTATCTATGATAACTTAAGATATCATAGATAACATGACGTGGAGGATATTTAATAATGTTCTTATACAAAGTTATGTCGAAATCAAAACCTATTTCTGACGACAAAATTAATACATAAACAGAAAAATTAGTTTAAGTACGACTTTAAACTACGTAACAGCTATTTGAATTTACATCTCATTATCAAAATATTAGTAATTGTTCATTTTATTTATGGACAGTTATATTTATCAATCCGAAGTGTAGATTATATTTTGTCTAGTTTTAACTATAAGATTGTAAAAGAATTAAATTTTAATAAATTAAAATGGAACATTTAGAATTATTGTCGCGTAAATTAGAAAATATTAAAGTGGATCGCGAGGCTAATGGCCTAGCAGCAAATATACCTTGTCCAAAGTCTGTTATGAGATATTTGAAACCTAAAGAAAATTTGAAGTAATATAGTTTAGAATATACCTATTTTTCTTATCTTTTTGTTAAAAATACTTATAAAAGCGTTATCGTATTTTTATAAATATCTACAATACTTTGTTTCATTTTAGTTGTAATATATGTTAGATTTTTTTAATCATATGTTGGATAAATAAATTTTGCTTAACTGTGCTTGATTGATATTTTTATATTTGGTAATGTAAACTAATAATTCGATTACTAAATTTTAACTTTTTTTTTTTTTTTAAGTACATAATTGTTAATAAATTTGAAGTGATTTTCCATTATATTTTAATGTTTGAATTTCTATATTATCAACCTTTTTAGTACATACTTTTATAATACGTGTAAACATAACATACTAGATTGCTAAATTACTAATTTATATTGTTAAATTTGGTATTAGTTTTTGAATAGCTTGAGTTTATATGAATGTCCTAATTTAAAAATTTAAAACTTAAAAGTAATATAATACATATTTTATAGATTGAATGAAAAATGTTGTTTGAAAGAATTTAAAACTAAAATTGCTGGTATTCTTAATGGTCATTCATCAGGCTCACCAACAAGGACGGATGAAGCTTTTAATTCAACTATAGTCATTAATTCTGATGAAGAACCAAATTTTGATTTCAGAAGGTTAGTTCTGCTTTTTTTTTTAGTGATTATTTATTGTATGATATTTAAATAATAATAATAATAATTTATTGATCTTAGTACTGCAGAAGTTTTAGAATCTCTAGTATTTACCCCAAAAAATAAACTTAAATCGGAAATTTCTGAAAATACTGGAATTATTATTAATGATTCTAACAACAAAAAGATATTTAAGAAGCGACAAAAAATAAGGCAGAAGACCTCTGAAAACAATAATAGTTTTAGTAGTACAAAACATGATAAATCAGCCTTAGAAAATTTGTAAGTCTGAATAATTAATTAAAAATAAAAATTGTTCAATAATTATTGCCTAATGCAAAAATAAAATCATAGCTTTAAATTTTACATTTTTGTTATATTATAATAAAAAAAACTATCATGATTCATAAATAAAATACACTAAAATTTAATTCTAGGAGAATTAATTAATTTAGCTTTATCAGTTTCCACTAGGAAGTTTGCAAAAAAATGAATTAATATTTAAGTAGCACAACATTTTCTATTTCATTTGATTATCTTGTAAAATTTATTTTTTCAAGTTCTGTCATTATTTTTGCCGATTAACAATAAGTGTTTAAAAATTGTGATAATTTTTATATTAATTTATCTACATATTTATTTTTATTTAGTAATAAAGGTTTCTATCCTGATTATCTTTCATTAGAAGAAGTTCAAATAGGAATTAAAAATGGTGAACTATTTGAAGGAATTATACGAATTAGTCAGAAATGCTATTCTGAAGCTTATGTCCCATCACCTGTTAGTTAATTTATTGAATTGAACTTATTTATTATTTGTTTTAACTTAAATATGTTACTATTTTTTTGCAGGACAAGTCAAAGGATATTCTAATAAATAGCATAAAACTAAGGAATCGAGCATTTGATGGTGACAAAGTAGTTGTAAGAATACTACCTAAGTCTCAGTGGCGAGTAAGAATCTTATACTTGAAACATTTAAGTCCTTAATGACTTTAATCTGATATTCAGAGTAAAACAGGTCTAGCTAACAACTCTTATAAATTTTGATGCAGTTAAAACATAATTTATGCATTCTGTAACTAAGTTAAGCCTCCTTCTACCTTCTTTTTCTTTACTCCTTCAAACTGTAACATTTACACTATTTAAAAAATTTCTGGGCCTCATTCCTCCTTCTGTCTAGCTATAAAAATGTTATGTTAATAATGTTAATGTTAATATAAAAATTTTAATTTTTCGAATAGTGTGAATGTTATAGCTTGAAGAAGTAAAGAAAAAGGAGGTAGCTAGACAGTCAACAATTTCATTTTCTAAAATACTGGCAAGACTAGAATCACAGTGATATAAAACAGATTTGTTTTGAGGTTGTATAGAAATATAGAAATATGTGAAACATATAGAAATATGTGATCTAATTGCAAGGCTAAAGAGAGAAATAGTACAGAATGGGTTGGACTTAATGGCAAGTAGGCTTAACTTAGTTATAGAATGCATAAATTATTGTTGAAAAAAACTTTAGAGAAATGTTAATTATATCAATTTGGAATGAAACAAACAAGTACTTAATAATTAATAAATTAAAAAAAAATAATATTAAAAAAATAAAATTATTTTAGGAAAAATTTAGTAGTCAACGATAAATTAATCAAACTGAATATATTTGTTTGTATTTTGTAAATACTATTAATGTGTATTAATATTTTTATTAATTTAGTGTACTTATTATTACTATTTTATAATAAAATATAATTTAAAAATTACATTTTTAGAATCAAGATACTGATGATTGTCAGAAAACTGGAGAAGTGGTATATATTTCAGAAAAAACTGAAAATCGTGTAATAGTTGGTTATCTACAAATAGAACGAGGAACTAGTACCCGTTTTTGTATGTTAATACCTAGAGATCAACGTTACCCTATGGTATTAGTTAAAACTTCTAATTGGCCTAAACAAATAACTTTTCAAAATAACTCTAAAGATTCAAAAGATCTATATTATGCTGTAGTACAACATTGGGATAACTTTAGATTCCCTAAAGGGTAAAAGATTATTAAAGTTAAAAGATATCTTAAACCTTCAATTAAAATAAAATTTACTTATTTTTGTTTATTAGAATTCTTAAAGGAGTTTTGGGTGAAGTGGGTGAAATAAAAGCTGAAACTTTAGGAATACTTATTTCTCATAATATACCAGAAAATCCATATCCTGAAGATATCAAACAGTATTTTCCATCACCATTTTCTATAGATAATGAATTAAATCATAGAAAAGATTTTCGGTATTGTTCTAAAAATTTTGATAGTCTTAAATATACTCTTTTGAAAAAAATTTTTTTTATTATTTAGAAAACAATGTATATTTTCAATTGATCCTCCTACTGCCAAAGATTTGGATGATGCTCTTTCATGTACAATTCTTCCTAATGGAAATTATGAAATAGGTGTTCATATATCAGATGTATCTCATTATGTAAAACATGGATCACCTTTAGATAAAATTGCGGAGGAACTTGCAACTAGTGTGTACTTAGTTCAGAGAGTAAGATTTTATTTTTTAAAATGCTTCATATTTTATTGTTTATTTAATATGAATACATTACATTGGATGTAAAAATTAGGTTTATCACATGTTACCTCCAGAGCTTACTATGATGGCTTCACTGTTGCCAGGAACTGATAAACTAACTGTTTCAGTATGCATAGAAATGACACCTAATGCTGAAATGGTCAATCAGACATTTTGTCGATCAATAATACATTCTTGTGCTCAGTTGCACTATGCTCATGCACAAGTATGTAAATTTAAATAATATTGTAATCTCTAGTTCCCTTTGTCATAAATATTTCACAGATTTTCTTGGAGAATCCTGAAAAAAAGGATTGGAAAGAATCAGATTTCCCTACTATTTTTAATGGATACACTGTAAAAGACTGTGCTATGGCTGTTTGCCATTTGCACAAATTAGCATCAATAATGAGAAAGAGACGATTTAACAATGGTGCTTTAAGTATTAATCAACCTAAATTATCATTTGAAATTGATCGTGAAACATGTGCTCCTTTATCATATTCTCTGTATATTCTTCATGAGAGTAATTGGTTAGTTTATTCAAAGAGTTAATTATCTTTTTAATAACTTTTATTAAAGCTGCAAATGTTTTATTAATTAAGGTTAATTGAAGAATTCATGCTTCTAGCAAATACTTTAGTAGCAGAACATTTAAATAAACACTTTCCTACAACAGCTTTGTTAAGAAGCCACCAACCCCCCGATACTGCACTAATTGAAAAAATATCAAAAATGTTAAAAACTTATAATATTGAAATAGATACTACTTCAGCTGGAACTATTCATAAGTCAATGGCTTCATATTATAAAGATGAAAAATGTTTTAATAAAGATATAGTTATTAGTAATCTGATGTCAAGACCAATGGTTGTAAGTGAAATAATAACATTATATATATAATTTGCTATTAAGTTTGTCATTTATTGATTTTTAATTGTTTTTTCAATAGCGGGCTGAATATTGTGTAACAAAACCTGATACTAATATGACTCATTATGCTCTTAATGTTCCATATTATACTCATTTTACATCTCCTATACGTAGATATCCAGATATAGTTGTACATCGTTTACTCATTTCATGGTTAACAAGTACTTCAATAAAAGAGTATGAAGAGTCTGATGTCATTAAATCGTAAGATATTATCATATCTGAAATGACAAGTATAATAAATGTCAACTGTTATAATTGTAGGATTGCTGATAATAGTAATATCAAGAAAAATAATGCTAAAAAAGCATCCGAAGCTAGTGTTGAAATTTACACTGTGTGCTTTGTCAGTAAACTTAAATATATTGATGAATATGCATTAGTAATGGATGTTAAAGAAAATTATTTTGAGGCAATTGTTTGTTCTATGAATATGAATGTTAGAACGTATGTTAATATTGTAAGTATTACTTTAATTGTGCTAATGAAATTAATCTTTATTATATTTTTTAAATTAATAGAATGAAAAAAATCAAGATTTACATCATAAAGCTTGTCATTATTCTGTTGTCGAAGAAAAGCCAATTTTGACAATTGTTTGGGATGATAAAGGCGATGTCAAACAGCAAGTACAATTATTTAGTAGAGTTAAATTACGGCTAGTTAAAAAAAAAAATTGTATGAAATTAAAAGGTATCTTAATACTGGATAAAACAACTCCAAATTAAAAAATTTTGACTGTGATATAATTTTAACCATTTTTTTTTTTTATACTTATGATATATTTTTTTAATAAATTATTTCAATTAATTATAATTTAATTATTTATGTATTTTTACCAAGCTAACTTGAAGTATCATGGATTATGTCACACTAAGTTTTATTGTTAGGTATCTACCAAATTTTTAATACATAGTAAAATATAATAGTTCTATAATAATCTTACTCGAATAGATACTTTAAAATTGTCTTAAAACTGATGAGTGAATATATACACATGGATGATTATCATAATCCTATCTTTTTTAAATCTAAAGTATAAAGTTATTGTGAAATATTTAATTTCAATAACTAGATTAACAGAGTTTGTAAAATAATATTTTATTATAATTTGATACTATATTGGATACCACGTCCAATCTTCAAAATTGGCTGATGTAAATCAAATTATGTTTGAAAAAAAAAAGTCAGAGTAGTAAAACTAATAAATTTCAATTACAGAGTTTGTTTTATTAAATATTCATGTAAAGTTTAATAACATTTAAAATATTATTTACTTAATAATATATATCAGGTATATTAAAAAGTAAAAAAAACAAAATAATATTTATATATATTATATCGTACACATTTTATACAAAAAATAAAGAATTATTAAAACAGTTCACCAAAATATTTAGTTAATAGATATTATACTATTATTGACCCGATACCGAATTTGTATGATTATAATTAACAAGTCTTCTGCCTACTAGATATTTGTCATTTTTTATGTGTTCATATAGCCTTTTAAATTGTCGAACTTGCATCATCATGCCTTTAATGATAATTAACATTAACATTAAAGTAGGATATATTCGTCTAGCAATCAGTAGCCGAGTAGATTGACTTTTAACAAGTAGTGGTACAACTGAATATGCTACAACATACGGTATAGCCAGAAATAAACTTAAAACGGCAATGACAGGTACTGCAAGGTCTCGCATCATTGACTTAAGATCTAATCGCATGAAACCATCTCTATAAGTGCGTTCAATAGCTCGTCTAAGAGCCCAATCAGGTCCCATTAAGGTGATGGCACATGCAATTTTCATATACAGTACACCAAGAGCCCAATCTTGCCAAGCCCATAAAACTGGTGTCTGATGTAGTGGTACTCTGAATGGTACTACCATAACAAGCTCTAAAAGCAATCCAAATAGGAATGGTATAATACCTAGTAAAACAATAAATGCTACCATTGCTTTTGATCCAACTTTCAACCAAAACTTTATTCTATTGATCACAACAGCACGACCCTCTGGTAACCATCCTGCTATGAAACAAACTGCTCGCACTGACAGCCAGCAAATGTAAGTACCACATGCTGCTGTATACAATTCGTGTATGTTTGGTGATTGCGATGGCTCAGTAGTTGTTGGTAAAACAGCTGGCCAAAATGACATGGCTAGACGTCCTAACCACACAGGAATAGTTATGATCGATAAGCTGATAATAACTACAGATATTGCAACCAAAATTAAGAGGATAATTAAACGTATTGCAAAATGAGTAGGACGCGTGTATGGTCGGAATCCTACAGGTCCTCCACGTCTTAACAAACCTTCATGAGCTGCACCTAAATCAGCTGCAGGTGGATGGATTGGGGCTAAAACAGGTTGGGGCTCTTCACCATCCCCAAGTAAATAAGATTTTATCCCTAACACATGTGAAACTACAATACACCAAAAACGAATACCCATTTTCAACCAGTTTCGAGTATGAGTTTGCTCAAGTAATGCTGGTAATACAACTTGTAAAAGCAGTAATTCAAGTGATAATTCATTGACTGAATCGCTGTGTAATGTTACATTATAGGGTAAAAATGATGGCCATAAAAATTTTAGAATTCGAATTGGTAGCCAAACAACTAAAAAAACTGCAGTTCCAAATATCATAGCTGAAGCAATAAGCCTTCTTCCATGCTGCAACATACCCTGTTGAATTAATTCCTGAAATTGTAATTAAAAAATTAAACATTATTTCTCAAGTAAGAAAATAGATGTTTTTGTAATACCTGAATTGGACTGAAATCTGGGTCATTTAAATTCCGTAAGAACCATAAAACTCCAGGTCGTACAACTTCTCTTAGGAGTAGCACAAATGACGCAAAATAATAGACGTACACCATTCCAACTAACCAGTGGATAAACATTGAGGTGCCTGGAGCTAAACGAAAACTGGTTAGTCTATCTTTAAAACTAGTGTCAAACATTGATAATGAACATATATCTAGCCACCATCCACAGACTAAAGGCAACACTCCTATTTCCACAACTGATAATAATGAGACCTAAAAAAGAAGTAAGTTATTTTAGAGTGTTTAAAAAAATAATTTATGTAATTAACAAATATAGATAATTTTATAAAAATAATCTAGTTAAATTCAATATACAAGTAATTATAAAAAACGTGGAAAAATTGATTATAGCCCTTCCCCAAATAATTTGTTCTAGTTATGCTGATGTGAATACAAACAAGTGTTCCAAAACAAAAAAAAATATTATTTAGATAATATAAAAATTTTAATTTATTGAAATCTTAAATCAATTTATTATTATTATTTAGTTATATTGACTATCATACATTTACCTTTACAACAATATAACTTAATCCAATAATACGTTTAGACCGTCTAAATCCAATAACCGTAGCAATTGTATGCATAATAAGTAGACACATTCCAATAAGACAATACCCACAAAGTGTAGTAACTAATCCTTCAAAATGTGAAGCAGCAACTTTATCTTGTAAAGATAATGAAGAAATAGCTAGATTTCCCATTTGGTATGGACAGAATGCAAATACTAATATAAAAAGAGCATTCATTGAAACTACCCAAAAAACATGTTCTAAAAAGACTAATGATCCATCTAATCCTAATAATCTTTCCCATGTTAAATCTTCAGCAGCACGATCACCCCAATCTATTGGGTTCCAGTGACCATCATCAATTTGATTATTTATTTCTTGTCTAATTTCAGCATCAATCTAAAATTATCAAGTAATTAGAATAAAAATATTTAAGTGTCATAATTTGATTTTATATAAGTTAGTATTTACATCATCAACTGGATTTTCTTCAGGAATAGGTGGTAACAACAAATTAATTTGAGGCTGATTATTTGGTTCTTCTCTTTCTAACCAGTCAGGTCCACCACCATGTAATATTTGTTCTCGTAACCAAATCAACCCAATAAATGCAAATAATGTACAAGTCACAACAAAACAACCATGAAATATATCACCAGATATGTTTTTTGATGACCACATATCAATAGGTAATGACATAACCTGAAAAACAATTAATACATAAAGTTTTTGCAATAATATTTTATTATTAGTAAATTAAACTTACAGCATCAAAGGAGCCATTGAAAAGGCTTCGATATATACGACAAGCTGTAAAAGGTACAACACAAAGCCAAGCTAATCCTACAAGAGTGAAATGTAGCCAATATTTAATACCAGTTAAGAGACTGGATGTAATTCCTGCAGCTACATCTTTAATAGGGAGTCTACGTGGCATGTCTGGTGCATAAATAGGTGTAAATGAGAACCGATAACTGCAAAGCTCGCAATACTCTTTACGGCTATACCGCATCCATTGAACTAAACATTCTTGATGAATGTATTTAATGCTTCCAGTACAAATACATGGATGAAATAAGGGGCGTTCTGGCATGCCCTCCGATCGGCACACCCTACATATGTCCGCCCCCTGTGCAGGGTCGTCCATATCACTTGTCATATAGTAGATTATAAACGTTTATTCAATTAATCTATAAAATGAAATTTATAACAGTTTATTAATCATTATTTAAAGATAGAAAAACTAAAATAAATATTACTCTTTTTTTGTTTTTATTATTATCAAAAACAACATATTGGTTCAGAATATTACTTTAAAAAATAAAAACTGGAATTTAAAATTATAAATGAACTACAAGTTAAAATTTAATTATTAAATATACAATTGGTTTACTACCAAATTATATTTAAATTTTTCATGAATATTAAATATTACTAATCAAAATGAGGAAATTATTATTTAAATTAAATGAACTAAGTTAGCATTTGTTGAGATATTATGTTTCTATAACCAAAAAAATTTCATCCTAGTTTATTATTTACATGTATAATCAACAATAATCATTTGTTACTAAAATATTTAATTTTTTTCTAACATACATAAGTGTTCTGTATTTCTTAAGTTATTTGTATTACAATATTTTTTATATTACGAGTTTAAATGTATTAGTAATAATGATAAACCTTAAAGATTTTAAAGAACTTCATTTGACAATCAACTCATTTAAAAAGTCAAAATTAATTGCGTCATACTACAAATAATAATTAGTCACAATATTAAAATATTCCTAATGACAACTTTATTCCTTATCATTAGGGTTTTACACCAGTCTCTTCAAGACAAATAACAACATACCTCACAAAGTTTAAACGATTAACAAAATATAGCCGGTGTTTCTTCACTATAAAATGGTCTGTTCTCAACACAGGTTGAAATAATTCAGTGTCACAAAATATAATTTTTCAATATATCATTCACTACAATATCAGGTTTTGGATCAATAACACCTTAGAATGTTATCATTCACGTCATATACTTGCTTCAGAAGATTATAACTTTTAAATCTATGCTTTTACATATAACCGTATACCACTACCAGCTGTTACTTTTGAATAGTGTTTGATACCATTAGTTAAAAAAAAAAACTTGTTGCTAATAAAAAATATGTAAATTTTATCAAATTTTATGCTAAAATATTTTAGTATGAAGGTGTAAAAATTCTTGAGAAATTCATTTTTACATTTTATGGACATTTTATGTTGTATTCATACTAAAAAAGTATCGTATTTTTGTTTTAGGATATGAAAGTTGAATGTAATTAATTGTTATCATTGAGCCACTAAATACGGTTTGGTAGACTTGACTGATAAAATATGGTTACGTTGGATGTTAAATTTTGCAAGTATTGATAATGATGGAAAATAAAAATAAAATATTGTTTTTATTATAATCGCCAGGGTGCTCAACAGTTAGACTTTGACCTTTTTATTAAGTCTGTGTTCCGTGTTCTTCCATCACCGAACAATTTGGGTCGTGGTTTGACGGTGAAAATCGCCGTACGTTCCACCCAATTACGTTAAAAAGAGTCATGGCATCGAATTTATTAAAAAACATTGTTAAGTTGGATACTTTATCCATATCACATAATGTATGCTGTAAGTATTATTTAATATATTTGACTTAAAATATTTTTATACGTATATTAAATTCAAAATAATGCTATTTTTAAAGTACCAATTAGATATTTGGCTACAGCAACACCTCGTATTAAAGATAAGACTGGTAAAAATATTGTATTTGTTGATGGGGTAAGAACACCTTTCTTATTGTCTGGAACTGATTATTCATCTTTGATGCCTCATCAATTAGCTAAAGAATCTCTCTTGTAAGTTAATATAGTTGCATATTAAATATAGTATGTATATTTATGAATATATTTGAAATAAATTGTGTTCTATGATTTTATATCATCAAAATAAATTTGAAACTTTCATCAAGCCTTATTGATTATAAAGCATATACCTTCACATTAATTAATTAAAAAATAGTTTTAATATTATAACCCAAAAAATTAGTAATAAATTGGAAAAATATAGTTTTTTAATATGTTGTAATGTTACATTATTTGATTTTTTGTTTTCTTGAAAAAAGAAACTTTCTCTTTCCTGACTTACGTGGTTGGAAATTTAGCAAAAAACTAACTAATAATTCATTAATAAATCAAAAATATTATTGGCTTTTACTTATCAATTAATTTTTATCTTTATGAAACTCTGAAATAGCTAACAAACACATTTTTGTTAAATTATGTTTAGAATCTTTGCTCTAAAAGTTTGTGACTGTGAAATCAGAAAAACATTATATTATCCAAAAACGTTTTAATTTTTTTAAATTCTTCAACAGTGGTGCTATTAAAATTTTNCTTCGACAGTGGTGCTATTAAAATTTCGTTTTGGATGGATATACATAAGAAAAATTTTTAAATCTCCCTTAAAAAAAATTGTATCCTTGCCATATAATTTTTTTTTGTCATAAGGAAAATATGACAACCATATCCCTCAATTACATCAATATTATATTTTGTAGAATGAGCTTTTTAATGAGAAATTTCAATATTTAAAATACTTACACAACCAATAAAAATAATTAAATTAAATAATATTGTTCAAAAAAATTATATATATATTTTTGGTTGATACATTTTTCTGATCTTAAGTTTATAAACCGATCTTATCAAAATATTAAATTTTATATTAAATGCAAGGAATAAAATTATAAACCTTAAATGAAATATTTCCAGTTATGGACTAATCACCTGTCCCAGAATATTCATGGTTAAAAATTCTCTTCTTTGGAAGAGACTACTATGGTCTTTTTATGGAATGCAAAAATGTAAATAACAGTTATATATTATTTCGGAAATCATATTGTATGATATTAAAAATGTACAAAATTGATTATTCATTTGATGTAGCCCATTTATTTTTATTATATATTAACTATGTGATTTATAAGTGCTTATAATTTTAGGAGTTTGATGAGGAAAACAAATATTCCACGAGAAGTAGTTGATTATATAGTGTATGGAACTGTTATTCAAGAAGTAAAGACAAGTAATATTGCACGCGAGGCAGCACTTGCAGCTGGATTTCCATACTCAGTTCCAGCTCATACTGTTACAATGGCTTGTATCAGCTCAAACCAAGGTATAACTACTGGTATTGGGTTAATTGCAGCAGGTGCATATGATGTTGTTGTAGCGGGAGGAGTAGAATTTATGTCTGATGTCCCAATTAGGCATTCTCGTAAAATGAGAAGTTTACTGTTGAGAGCTAATAAAGCTAAAACTCCTCTAGATAAATTAAAATTGCTTTCTACTTTCAGACCTAATTTTCTCATGCCAGAGGTATGCTTTAATATTTTTTTGTTGATGTTTTGTTTAAAAAAAATATTAATCTCTTTTATAGTTACCAGCTGTTGCTGAGTTTAGTTCAGGTGAAACTATGGGTTATTCAGCTGATCGATTGGCTGCTGCATTCAAAGTAACACGTGAAGAACAAGATCAATATGCAGTCCGTTCTCATACCATGGCTAAACAAGCACAAGAAAAGGGATACTTAACAGATATTATTCCATTCAGGGGTATTTTCTTATCTTGAAATTTTAAAGTAATTTTTAAAATAATAATTTTTGTTGTCATTTAGTGCCAGATTCTTCAAAAGTTATTAGAGCAGACAATGGTATTAGAGTATCGCCAATAGATAAACTTGCTAAGCTTAAGCCAGCTTTTATTAAGCCTCATGGTACTGTAACAGCTGCTAATTCATCATTTTTGGTAAGAATATAAATTTGAGTATTGAAGTTTATTTAAATTATTTGGAAAATGTTTAAGACTGATGGTGCATCTGCTTGTCTCATAATGACTGAAGAGAAAGCTAAGCAATTAGGTCTTAAGCCTAAATTATATTTAAGAGATTTTACTTATGTTGCTCAAGATCCTCTTGATCAATTATTGCTTGGACCAACATATGCTACACCCAAAGTATTAGAAAAAGCTGGATTAACAGTGAACGATATTGATGTATGGGAAGTACATGAAGCTTTTGCGGTATGAATTATAATTAAAATTATTAAAACAATAATTTTTAATAATTTTTTTGTGATTATATAGGGTCAAATAATGGCTAATTTAAAAGCTATGGATAGTGATTTCTTTGCGCAAAAATACATGAATAGACAAAGTAAAGTTGGCGTTCCAGATTTGTCTAAATGGAATACTTGGGGAGGATCACTAAGTATTGGTCATCCTTTTGCTGCTACAGGTAAGCTGTTTACTAATAAAATTATTGTCTGTGAATTATAAAAATTTTTATAATTATAGGAGTTCGTTTGACTGTGCACACTGCTAATAGATTAGTAAGGGAAGATGGTCAGTTTGGCCTTATTGCAGCTTGTGCCGCTGGAGGACAAGTAGAAATTTTTCTTTTTTAAATGAGTTCCTAAATTTATTTTTTATTATGTTTTAGGGTGTTGGCATGATTGTAGAAAGGCATCCTGATGCAACTGCATTATAATTTATTACAGAAAATATCCTCGTGGAAATTGGGTTAAAAGATACATATTATACAGTTTAATACAAATATAATATTATTGTTTTTCAGCTTTAATATTTTTTCATTAATAAGTTAATTTATATTATTTTACTGCCTTTTTTATTTTATTGTAAGAAGATACTATTTTTGATTTCTATCTATTAAAATTAATTTGTTTGAAAGTAATATATATTTTTATGTGTTCTATTCAGTTTGATTTTAAAGATGAATAATTATTATTTAATTAATATTTGATTAAATATAAAGTAGCAGTATCGTATTTTACTAGACTGGGCAAACTTTTGAATGGTCTTATAGTTTCACAAAACTTCTCAATTCATTCGCGATATGATACTCCATAATAAAATTGTGCAATTTATCAAAAGTTATTGGGGAAAAAAATTTTTTTTATCAAATAACATTTTAAACTAAAATTTGAATTTTTACTATTTGTCTCAAATAGTTTTTAGAACTGATGTCTCATCAGTTCTAAAAACCAGTTTGGCCTGGTAAGTTAACAATGGAGCCATTATTTCGCGTGAGACAACTAAAGTATAGGGAAAAGAAGAAAAAGCTGTGTATAGTGTTTATAGATTTGGAGAAAGTGTATGATAAAGTACTGAGAGATGTTTTAAAGTGGGTATTAATGAGAAAAAGAGGTCCTAAAAAAGTACATATATATAATAGAGGATATGTATGATGGCACTTGTACTATGGTAAAAAGGGCGGGAGGAGTAATAGAAGGTTTTAATGCCCAAGATGAAAGTATTACATCATACCCTTTAATTTTTATACATGTTTGTTATAGAAGTAACGAAATATATAATTTTATCATTTTTTATTATTTCTCCGTAATTATTACAATATTAAGTTATTAAATATTAATTTCATACTATATTTAATTGCTATAATAAATATTTATTAATAAATTATACTTTTAAATATAAGAATTACTAATCAGTAAATAATTGAGGAAATATGAGTTGATGTTGCTTTTGTAATTGTCCACTAATTTCTTAACATTAAACACTATATACAGATTTGCATCGAAGCGTTTCTTATGATAGTGATTTTAATCACTGTCAGATATCATCTATACTTGTCCCAACTATCCCAGATCCATACTGTGCTTCGACCCCCCCTGTGTTACCTTTTTTTTTTATAATGATCTTATCAGTAGAACCACCACGTTATTAAAACTCCTTTAGTATATAGATGGCCAATCCATTCAATAAAGGCGTTCATAGAATTGCAAATTAAATTTTGTGCATTATTTTAGCATTATTAATTCATAATATAGCAAATAATATAATTAATTTTTTCTTTTTAAATGGTTCTACTCGATTATCGGCTAACTCAGTTATAGTATTCCCCAAAAGTATTTATAGTAGTTATAGTATTAATGTTGTCATATCTAAATTCAGTGTTAATTCTAAATCCCGGCTTCCGTCAATGACACCTGAGACCAATGCTAAATCAAACTTATAATACCTATCAAATTCGAAATCAATGAGAATAAGCCTTACCTTATTCATTTTATACCTAAATGTACTCCCAGGTCTAATAACAACAGATTAGTAAATTACAATTATGTTACAATTAAACCAAACATTATATTGTTAAATAAAATGTTTTATTTCCAGTTTCGAAGATAATAAACTTTATTACAATCGAATGAAAAAAGTTATTAGAACAATATTGTTTCAACATTTTNAATGAGAATAAGCCTTACCTTATTCATTTTATACCTAAATGTACTCCCAGGTCTAATAACAACAGATTAGTAAATTACAATTAAACCAAACATTATATTGTTAAATAAAAAAATTTATTTCCAGTTTCGAAGATAATAAACTTTATTACAATCGAATGAAAAAAATTATTAGAACAATATTGTTTCAACATTTATTTTCTACCATATCATCAAACTGACAATAAGGATTCCATTTAAGAAAATTAAAGTTTAAGTTTTTATACTTAAAAAAATATAATTATTGATACGTGACAAAATGTGAACCTTTAAATATCAATTAACATTTCTTATAATAGAGATAAATTTATATTTTGCTTTGCTATTGGTCGCGCGTACGTTATAATCAAAAATCTGTACTGTTGTTACAGACTGTGCTGTTGTTGTCATGGCAAACGCTATACACACAATATTCTTTATGAAGTTAATAATCGTTCTCTATATGACACATCACTAGTCACCACCATCAATACCCATATGATTTTAATACTATTTGTAATTAATTTTTTTAATTTAATTTATTTTTCATTTTGATATTGAATAAAGTAATAACCTCTCCTAAATCGTAGCCGCCGTCGATGTGTCTCGTCCTAGTGTATTCTCTTCCTTATCAACCACNAACTGACAATAAGGATTCCATTTAAGAAAATTAAAGTTTAAGTTTTTATACTTAAAAAAATATAATTATTGATACGTGACAAATTGTGAACCTTTAAATATCAATTAACATTTCCTATAATAGAGATAAATTTATATTTTGCTTTGCTATTGGGCGCGCGTACGTTATATTGGCCGTATAATCAAAAATCTGTACTGTTGTCACAGACTATATAATCTGTGCTGTTGTTGTCATGGTAAACGCTATACACACAATATTCTTTATGAAATTAATAATCGTTCTCTATATGACACATCACTAGCCACCACTATCAATACCCATATGATTTTAATACTATTTGTAATTAATTTTTTAAATTTAATTTATTTTTCATTTTGATATTGAATAAAGTAATAACCTCTCCTAGATCGTAGCCGCCGTCGATGTGTCTCGTCCTAGTGTATTCTCTTTCTTATCAACCACTGTAATAGTATTTTGCTGTGTGCGTTCAACTAATATTTTTTTCCGCGTGTGACCGATCCATTAAAATGTTTTTTAGGCGTCGGCCATTTTTCTAACCCGAGATCCCCATCNCCGAGTGTACCCATATGGTGACACTCAATATCTCAGAAATCGTATTTTCAAAAAATTTAAAAATAATTTTTTTTTATTTTTGTGTTGTACATTAATCTGTTTTTAGTAAAAAAAATAGAAAGTTTGAAAAAAAATAATTCTCGGCGTTGATGGGTTAAGATAGTCTTAAGATATAAACTAAGGTTTGCTCTGTTATGAAAGTTTAGAACTTTCGATAAAAAATTATAAATATATAAATAAATTAAGATGCGCTAAAAGTATTTAATTAAAAAATAAAAATCTATTTGATGGCATAATTACTATACTAATATATCATAAAATGAATAAATTAAGATTAATTCTGCACTTATCATCTAATTCTTAACATTAAAGCTTGTACAACACCGTAAATAGTCGATTTTCTATAGTTATAATTTAACTTTTGTTTATAATACGCGTCACATGACTGTAATTTACAGATAAACATTTCTAGTGTAACGCTGTAACTAGGTTACAAAATTATAAATGTCACGATAAAAAAATGTAATACTATAAAAAAAAAATAGAAAGCAAAATTTATCACTTCTGTTTAAAATGAAATAACATTGATAATTAATGAAAATATTCAGTATATAATTTGGTTTAATAATTCTTTAATGTAACTTATCTTTAATACAACTTTTTTTTTAAATTCATAATTATGCAATTTTAATATATAGATAAGTTTGAGAATTGATACAAAATAATTAAACATAGAAAAATGCTGCAATATAATTATTAATTCAATTTATTTGTCTGTTAAATATTACAATCAGAATTTTCATTATCTTTATTAAAATTGGCAAAAGAACGGTGAATTTGTGCGACTACATCCGGCCCCGTGCNGGACGGTGAATTTGTGCGACTGCACCCGGCCCCGTGTCTTAGACGTAAATACAAAATTATTAAAATATATGAGATATAAATATGCATAATTTTGATTTCATTTATTAGTAGCCAACATTAATGTTATATTTTTATACTTAAAATTCACCAAGATTTAGCTAATAATATAAATGGTTAAATTATTTATTAATTTTATTTTATAATTAATTTTTGAATTCAATGTGTTTAATGAAATGATCTATAAAAATTCCTCAAAGAGGGGTAGCCATCAAATGGCCTACTTATCGCCTTCATTTAAAAATAAAAACCCTGAGGTTCCAATAATCAAATTTTGTCTAGGCTCCACTAACTGTTCTGTCCGCACTGATCTTTTTAGTCCGGATCGCATTGATTTTAATAATGTATTATTACATAATACATCGAATAAATTTTTTGAAACAACGAAGACATTTATCATTAAATCGTACCGTATTTCAAATTCGTCAAANTAATACATCGAATAAATTTTTTGAAACAACAAAGACATTTGTCATTAAATCGTATCGTATTTCAAATTCGTCAAACAAAGATGTATCTATAAATAAAAAGATCACATGAAGTTTTTGTAATATTTAATATAATGTTCATTAATTTATTAAAATGTATAAATCATAAAGAGTGTTGTTTTTTTGGTATTTATTTAGCTCAATTGCGTCTTATAATTTATTTTATTTAAAATTTGGCTATTTTTGAACCTGATTGTTGTTACACTAACGACCTGTCTTAAAAAGTTTTGCGCCAGGGTAAAACTCAATGGCAATAATAATTTATTTATATATCGGAGTATTTTCCTTGATAAGGTTTCACTGTATTTTTATGCAACAAGAAGGAAATTAATTTCTGGCAAATACTCTCATTGATGTGAACAGCTCATTCTATATGATTTAAATTATTTTATACTCTCAACATTTGACTTATTACATTACAATTATAATACGTCTAAATTAAGTAATTATTTTGAAAAATGAAAATCACATTTCTTAAACAAATCTGTACATTATATATTTTTTTCAGTATAATCAATAAAGTAACTAAGTCCATATAACAAGAGAACTCCATTTTTGAAAATCGATAAATAAAACTTACTTAAATGATCAGGTGTTTTTATTTTACGATTTATTTGTTCTGAAATTAATTTTTAAGAAAGTTAGAAATGACTGATTTTTAGTGTTTGAAATGATATGAATAAATTATAAAATAAAAAAAATAAATTATACTAATGCAGTATTAGAATTTATAAAGAATTTTAAATATGTGTTATTTAAGTCCTAAATTTTTAATAATATTAATAGCATTTTGATCGAGTTGTGAACTCAATGAGAGAATTGTTAATTTAAAGATGAACTTTTCTTTCCTAATGTACATTTTTATTTTACTCAAGAGAACTCAAATATCATTTTTATTAATAATTTAAAAATTATTTTTGTTAATATCTATGATATTTGTTAAAAAAATGAAAAAAATCCATTTTAAAATAAAATATTCTTACTAAAATATAACTGGAGATAATTTTGAATAATTCGTTCTATAAGTACTATACCACGCAAGTCATCGCCTAAAAATATTATGAACAAATTAGTAAAGAAGTTGATAAACTGTAGTTTACTTTCTTACAAATTACATGTAAACTTTTAAAGAAATTATAGTGGTAGAATTTTCGTTAAATGATTTATTTATATAAAAATATAAATTTAAATTTAATTACTTTTTTTAAATCATTTTAAATGTTTTTTTTTAAATCAGGGGTTAGTTTTGAAAGTTAAATGGGAACTTGATATTATCATTTTACTATTAAATGGAAAAAGGTCTAAATACAATTTTCACTGGTTGATAATTATTATTCTAAATCTTTATATGCTAATGTGTCAAAAAGTAATAGTAAAAAACTAGTTATCGAACAATCACATCTTTACTTAGACCATTCTCTATTTAATAGTAAAATAATAATAATAGTTTCCCATTTTACTTTTAAATGTTACCCCTAAAATCTACCAAAAAAATGTTTTTCTTAAATAAACATTTATAATTAATTACATTAACAAATTAATAAAATTTTAATATCATATTTTTTTATAAAAGTCATTAATTTAACGAAAAAATTAAAGCGGTTGTATGTTTAATAAATCATGTTGCAAGAGATTTATTATTAAGAATTAACTTCTATTAACTGTTTATAAAATTAATAATCTCATTTAATTTTATATTACTTGATGGAAGAAAATAAGAGTTTATATTATCTGAAATATTAGATTAAGTAACAATTATTATNTTTTATATTACTTGATGGAAGAAAATAAGAGTTTATATTATCTGAAATATTAGATTAAGTAACAATTATTATGATATAGTCTATTATCAATCTTATAAAAAATTGGTATGTTTATAAATACTGTACATGAGGGGCATTGTGCATATAGAATTGAAATGTTTAAAAAAGATTAATTCTGAAATAATTGAATTTTAAATGTAAAAAATAATATATTTTCAGTGCAGTTGTTCCAAATTTTTATTTTGTTTAATTATACATAGTTTTTATAATAACATATTTCAAGTGGGATGAAGAACTGAAATGTATCTTGAGTTCCCCAAATTATTTGTTATCTATATTCTTTTACGAATTCCCAAAAATAGTATTAGTTAATTATTATTTTTTATTTTAAAGTATTTTATGACATAACAATTATTATTCAACAATTTTTTTTCAAACTATATTAGAATTTTCAAATAAATTATCTGTTTTTATGTTATTTAGCTATTTTTAAGTTGTATTAAGGGTGGCTGTCTTTTTTTTTCACTTTTTAAATAATACTGGTCGATAACAATTTTTGATCCAGTTTTTTAGAAGTTGTTACTATTTTAAAAGATGGGCTGGTGGAGAGTCACGTGACTATATGACAATATTTATCACTCGACAATTCTCAGCATCATTCCTCCTGTCTAAATATAAAAATGGGAATAATTTTCAAAGTATTGGTCTAAAAGTGGATATTAACCAGTAATTTTCTTAATTATATAATTTTATATTTTATAAGCTAGTTAAATATTTATGTTGCTATAAAAAAAAAAAAAAAAATTTAACACCCCTATAATTTATAAGGAATGATTCTAAAANAAAAAAAAAAAAAAAAAAAAAAATTTAACACCCCTATAATTTATAAGGAATGATTCTAAAAAGAAATTAATGGATGATAAATCAAGTAATATATGTAAATAGAAAACAATTTTTTTTTCAATATTGAATTTATTTTGCGAATATTTGATTGGTTTATTATGATCCGTTCTATATATGTAATACATATTTTTTCCGAATTTTTTTCAAAATGTATATTAAAATGTATATAAATATGTATATTTTGAAAACAATTCGGAATGAGAGTGAATTGCATGGACCCTTCTCATGGATTTGATTTTTCTCTAAAACAGTTAAAATACCATAGAATCTAAACAAGTTAGAATTTGATTGAGTTTATTCTTACTATATGTTTTTTCAGTATTCTTAGCCATGATAAAAACTACTTCTTTTCGTTCTGGTAAACAGTAAATAATAAATTATCAAAATACAAAAACTTAAAATATGAATTTTATGTATAATATTATACAAATATAATATCATACTAAATATACAATATATTTAAGCTATATTATATACACTGTACATTACACAGAGTAAATTATTAAGTATACTAACAAATTTTTCATTAAATAGTAAGGGTTTTATAAAAATGTTATAAATTTATTTTTATGAGCTTTTGTGGTACATAGTGAACACCTAGTATTTTTACAACAAAAAATTATTTATATAAGAGTAAATGTAAAGAAATTAGGTAGTATTTAGCTAAGTTTTATTTATAAATTAACATAATCCACATCGCCAAAAAACATTTACACAACGAGGGAGAGTATTACCTATAAACCTTTCTTTTATACTTAATACCAAGGACGTATATAAAATATTTTGAAAGATAATGTGAGCAAAATATTTTTACACATAAAAATCAAGTTTTTGCTCACATTATTTTTCAAAATATTTTTTTCAAAAAAGTGTTGATTGTCCAAAGAAGGCGTCCTCTACTCCTTCATTGTTAAATTTGTATTATTCGTTATAGACCAATTAGTATTAGTTGTTTTTAAATATAATGTAAAATAACTGTATAGTATGTGCCACTGTAAATTACTAATTTGAGTGCCTAGAAGATATTCGAGTTAATAAATCACGGCAAGACACCTTACATTAGAATTTGTAGAATTTATTTACAATAAAAAAACGCATTATTTAATTATTTTACAACGTGTCGTCGTCTCTATGTCAAATCACAATTTCTCGAAATTATTCAGAGGAAGAAAAAATACATTTTCGTATAGATAAAAATATGAATAGGTTTTTAAATACACTATATCAAGAAAATATAGACATTTTTTTATTCTCGCTTAAAATTTGTGTCAATATTGTGTTTATTATGTAATTCTCAAAAAACATTATCAAAAGATTAAAAAATCTTAAAATGTTGAGTTATTTGGTTTTGCCATTAAGACGATACTATGTTAATTTATAATATACGGAGTGATTCATTTGACGTAAACTACTCAATTATCCCCATAATATAAATAATTTTGAAATTTTTTTTTGGATTACATATTATTCTCGAACTATTTGATATGTAATATTTTGTCATTTCATACTTATGTTTGGTAAGACTGTCAACTTTATTCTTTTAAATATATAATTTTAATTTTTTTTAATAATAAACATTTATCATTGTTAAGCATTAGAAGCATTAGAATTTTTTATTTAAGTTAATTCGTTTATCAGTTTATAAGTTTCAATTTTTGAAGTTAAAATACATGTTTAACAACCAAGAAATTACAAATTCAGGTAGCTAATTGTTTTTTTACGACATCGCTAATAAAAGATACGCTGCGATTATTGCCAATTATTACGGCACTATTAAGTAATAACGTCAATAAACTTTGTATATAACTTGGAATTGATTAGTCACGAACAAATACATGACCTACTGGTTAGTATAATCCCTCTTATATTTTACATGTATATTTTAATACAAAATCAAAATAAATTTCAAATATTATGGCTAATAAACGGACGAAGTTAAATTAAAAATTTGAATGTCATTTATTACTTAAAAAATCACAAAAATTGTTTTATTTGTAAAATATATGTTCTACTTTGAAAAAGTAATTTTGACACCCTTACAAGACATGAATTATGAACATAAATATTGTAACATAAAAAATTATTTCTGAATAATGTGTATTTAAAGTAACAAAAATAAAAGTGTCAAAATATTATTTTTAAATAATATTTTCTGCGACTAATTGAGCAATTTATCATAAAAGGATCACCCTGTTAATGTGATTTTTTATTTTTTAATACTAATTAAAAAATAAGTATACTTTACCAGGAATGTTTAGTTGTTCCAATAGATGGTCTAAATATTAGAGAGAAAATTATTATAAATTAATATAATTAAATTCAGTCATTGTCTATGAATTTCAAGGGTGGGTATAAACAAGTCAATACCTGAAACTTAAGTTTAGTTATATTTTAAAGTAACGGAGAAATTTAGATTTTATTTTAACTTCTTTTCTCTTTTGTACATAATTAACGGAAACTTTTTGTTAAAAACCTCCACATATGATAAAAACAATTTTTTTAAATTTAAATTAACTCTAACTATTTGCAAATTATATGTTAGTTAATATAAAATATTAGGAATGGGAAAATTATATTTAGCCCTATAAAATTATCAACCTAATCCTATAATATTTTTGTAAACAAATTGATTCTAACTTGTTTTGCTAAGTTAGTGTAATTTTGTTAACCCAACTTTTTTCTTAATTTATTAAAAAAATTGTATTAGTTTTAGATATTAACTCTTTATTTTATTTTTTTTTAACTTAATTTAAATTAATTTAAAAAATCATTAATTTGTCTAGCTTTGATGAACAAATACTCTTTCAGCATCATAAATCAGTTTATAATATCCGTCGTACTCCTATAGGACCTTGACATAGACACAAAAATGAATATACAAATTTGGGTAACACATTTAACGTCAAACTTGTTGTTTTAGTTCTTCTCAAGTTTTCTTGTTGGGTACAACAAAAGGGAAAGTTTTTAGAACTGTTAGCATGGTTTATCTAAAAAATAGCAAACTAAGGGGTGACTCTTTGTCAGTCACTAGCAAAAACACTTTTTTAACCCTTAAACAGTCGCGTGAGTGTCTAGCATACCCCCACATAAATAAAGACGGATGTATTATATTGCATAAAAGTGTATGTAGATATAAATTTAGAAGATGGTTTTTATAGTAATATTGATTTGATTTTCATAAATAAATACCTTCAAAAAAAAAAAAATGTATGACTTAAAATATCCATCAAAATTGAAATGGGTCATATTTACCCCCACGCGACTTGTAACTTGTTATAATCGATATAATATTGTGAAATTGGAATTTTGTGGATCTGCCACCGACTGTGCAATTAAGTTCTAAAAATAAATAATCTATTTAGAATTTCCACTACTCGATGATACGGAACAAATAAGAACAAAACATGTAATAAATACATTGCATCGCAATGTGGACCCATTGATTATCGGTAACCGATGTGCTACTAATTGTATATACTCGTATCATAATAATTAGAAATGTATTCTAATATTAATAATAAAAAAATTTAATTCAGAAAAATGATTATATAAATGTAAATGCACATAAAATTAATAAATATAAGGCTGATTAAACTCAAAGAAATACAAGAAAAATTAATTAAAATACATTTTGTAATAGTAAAAGTTTTTGTTTACTGTCTTAAAAATAAGATTTTACAGTTAAAATAATTTTTGTACAAACCAAAATTTTTAAATGAAATTAAGTTTTTTTTGTAATACAATTTTTAGTAATGCACATAATTTTGTAATTTATTTATATTTTAATTTTTATCCAAATTTATATATCGTATGGTAACAAATAATGTCTTTGAATTTAAAAAAATGAACATTTTTAGAAATGGGGTCTGATAGACCCCCAGACGACTATGAATGTTAGAAATAGGCACGTGCCTGCTAATGGGTTAATAAACTCACTATATATTCTCGTTCCCACCATTGTTAACTTGCTTATTTTGCATTTTCTCTTTATATGACATTATTATTTTACTTAAGAATTTAATATTGCTAACTACAGTATTAAACACATTATACACACTAATATGAGAGTTTATTTTTTAAATTTTCAGCTATTTACTATATAACATATATACAACCCCAGTATAGAAATTTTTATAACTGGTCCAAAATAGTTATGAAACAAATCTATACATTGTATATATTCAAATATAAAAAAAATAATGTAAATAGAAATATTTAAACTGCAGTACAATAAATAACTAATTTCTTGAATGTATTTTTAAATGTATATATTAAAAATTAATGATAAAAATTTCAAACATTATCAACTTAAAATAATAGATTCTAATTTATAATTTATGAACGAAAATCCTCATAGACTATAGTAATTTTATTATTACAAATTATTAAGTTTTAAAACATGCATTAAATAATATTTTACTTGTCTTGAACATTTCTTCTTTTACCGCTGAAAATTATTATAAAAACATAACTATAATGAAATCTGTTAAAAAACCCAGCACAGTGGGTACGTGGCGTAGTTGAGTCCAATATAGATTTAGTCTGACAATGATTAAAATCACTATCATTAAAAACGTTTCGATGTAAATCTGTAGATAATTTAAAAAAATAGGTGGATTATTTCCTTATTTATATCCTGATTACAAGTTTTATGATTTATAAGTGTAATAAATGAATAAATATTTATTGTAGCAATTAAATATAATATGAAATTGATATTTAATAATTTAATATTGTAATTTATACGGAGAAATTATAAAAAATTATAAAGTAATTATTACTTTTATGGCAAACGTATACAAAAGTTGAAGGTTTTGATGTAATACTTAAAAAAAAAATTGTTTGTTATTTAAAAATAAATTTGCTGGTCTACAAGGAATTTTTATACGAGACCAAAATATACTTTTCTAAATCCATTTTTGAGGCGATTACAAATCTGCACTTAGAGTTATGCATATGCCTTAAATTATAACGAAATCCTTTTAATTAATTTAATAAATATTTATGTTTGAATATTAAGTTACGTATAAATAATTAATAAATATATTTGAATTAAAAATAAATTGAAAAAGTTCTACTTTCTATATGAATTTTTGAGTTTTGAACCACTCCTGTATAAAGGTAAATGATTTAAAACAAAAAATATGTAAAATGAAAGAATTATATAAATAATATTTCTTATAAAGAAATTGTATTGATCCATACATTTTTCAAATGTTATGATAGTTTTAAGTAAACAAAAATTAAAAAATGACGAAAATTTCCGATTTTTAAATTTGTAATTTTATTTTGGAGATTTCCCGATTTTTGTAGAATGAGGGACATTTTTTTTCAATTTTTGAGGGCAATGATTCGACTATATACGATTTGTGATCATTTAATGTATTGTTAAAAGAAATCGGTTCTGTGAGAGCTGAGAAAAAATGGTATCAGACACAAAAAAAAACACATTATAGTAAAATTAATATCTTCTCAGCTTTGCATCGAAGCTAAAATTTTAGTAGAAGTAGTTCTAATCGACTGCCCCGACGAAAAAGGTTATAACTCGATTTTTAATTTTTTTATAAGTAGTATGTCTTAAAAAACCCTGAAGACAAAATTTTTTTAAAAATTGAATCTTGTAATAATTACGGTATCCTTCATTCTACCAGTGATGTTATTTTGGGAAATTTACGTTTAAAAATAAAATAAGAATATGAATTGCAATGCTTGTTTTAACGCGTTACGACTTTTTTCCTTGGGGCTGTCGTTATGGTACAAACTCCCCTTTTACATATTTATGTATGGACGGTTTTTGTTAGAATGTGGTCAAGTCAAACGTTGTCACTTTTAGGTTTTTATCAATTTTGTTTAAAAACAGATATTTTAAATATATCAATAAACTATAATTGAGTCAACAATAATTTATCCAACTATTTACTATAGCTAATTTTATTTTCCTAGTATGAATATGTAATAAATAAATTTTCAGATAAATATTAAGAAAAAAAATTTTAATTCCTATAAAATACGACAATTGTGTAACAGTAGACATTCATGTTTAATAACCTTATAGGGAAGAGTTATGGTGAACTTATTATTCACTTATTGTGAAGTAGATATTTTATGGATTACAAGAAAGTTATTATAAGTGTTCAACTAGGTGTTCTAAGATTAATTTGCGCACGAAGATAATTGTCTCCGGTATTAGTCAAAGTAAAAATTATGATGTAGCATTAACTGATGGAACACTGACCAACTAGTAGTCGGTAAGATCTCTTTTTATATTATACAAACTGTCAATAACATTAATAATTAATATGTAACAATTAAGTGATAATTTACTTAATAATTCTATTTAAAATTTAACACAAATTTCAACATAGGTTTACGACAATATAATTGAACTTCTTATTATTTGATGTATTAAATTTTAATTGTATCCTCAATTTTTATAATGATATATTATATGAGTAAATTCACTAGTTACTGAGAGTATTTGAGAAGTTAATAGAGTTGATTGATGAGGCTATAAAAAGTGAAAATGGAGATAATATATCATTATATTAATAGGCCAGTCAACAAAGGATAAATGGCAAAAAAAATTCCCAACCAAATTTTTTTTAAACAAAAAGTTGAATAATTATAATTATAATGACATACTAAAAGTCCTCATTGATTGGAATTGAGCTTTTTTTTTACAGTCTTGCAAAAGTTAAAAAAATGAGCTTTTTAAATTTTCTCAACAAATATTTAACTTAAAAAAAAAAATTTCGTATAAAAGTTGTTTAAAAAACAATTTTAAATAAAAAAGGTATCTTTTATTTTTTTATTTAAACAAATATTTTTCGAGTTACATTACATTTAATATGAGTAGTAAAATTTATTTTCCATTTTACGGTTAATTTTTATCATGTTATACTTACATTAGATACAATGTTATAAATGCATATGTGTATAAGTGTGAGTTTATTTATTTATAGTATCATTAAAGTGTAATGTATATTAAGATACAAGCGATTGAGTAGGTAATTGATTTGACGCTATATTGTTTAAACTCAACCAAACGCTAAATTGTACATTCCCCAATAACAATTATATAAGTTAAATATTTGTTGAGAAAATTAAAAAAGCTCATATTTTTGGACTTTTGCAAGACTGTAAAATAAAAGCTCAATTCCAATCGATGAGGACTTTTAGTATGTTTTACATTATAATTATAATTATAATTAAAAAAAATTTGGTTGGGAATTTTTTCCGCCAAAATTACTCCTTCGTTGACTGGCCTAGAAAATAAATATCACTAACTTTCACCTATTGAGAATATATTATTACCGGTGAATAAAACAAAAACTTATTACAAACACTCGTAAATTGATTAGCTTGTGTTAGAATATTTTTATGTTATAATGTAAAAATATGTATGCATTTAAAAAATTGAAAATTTCAGTACTATGTCTTATGGTGTAGCATACACGAGCTTTGATGCAAAGCTGAGAAGGTAATAATTTTACTATGATGTATTTTTTTTTTGTGTCTGTAATCACTTATTCTCAGGTTTTATTGAACCGATTTTGATTAACAATATGTCATAAGATCATAAATCGTATAATCGTATCTAGACATTTTTTCAACTTTTTTTATTAAAACTGCCATAACTTTTTGAAAAATAAATGAATAGAAAAACAATTTTTTATAGATACATTAAGTATTATCTATCATTGGTGTATTTTTATTGAAAATTTGACCCTTAACCTGCCCACAGGGCAGAATTCAAAATGATAAATTTTCCATAAAAAATTAACTTTTTAACATACCTTAATTTTCCTTTAAATACAATCCACATAGACAGTTAAAATCATTAATTTCTGATGTTTTTACAGTATTTATTGTTGAACTAGGTTTCATATGATAATAGATTTCAATTACAAAGTAATATAATTATATTTTGTGATTTTTAATTTTTTAACTCTATTTGTGAAATTACTACCAGTCTACAATAATCAAATTTTGGTAACATGATGCTATATAAATCATTTCTAAAAATTAATGATTTTAGTTTAACCTGAATTTAACAATGAATTTTTACAATTATAATCAAATTTTATAATACGCTCTGTTGAGTAGATTTTTTGATTTTTTGATTTGTTTATTTAATTAGTAGTAAATCACTAAAATTAATTAAGTTCTTAATATTTCAATTGTAAAATCTTTTAATACATCAAAAGTTACTTAAAAATGAAAACTTTGATTTCTTTTTAAGTGATCTATTACAATGAAAATGCAAAAAAAAAAGTATTGAGATTTTCGGTAAAATTATAGTAAATAGTAATTATAAAATTTCCTGACTGCATATTAATACCATATCTCAACAATACCATTTTTTTAATGTTCATAAAATTTTCTATTAATAATGTAAATTTGAAACTTGCAATTTGAGCTTAAAAAAGTAAAAAATTCAACTTTTTTTTTTTATAAACTTTCAAAAATCAACTTTAAAAGACCAAAAAAAAAAGTTAATAATGTCATTTTGCACTGAATATTTTAACATATTAGAAACCAAAATCAGTAATAATTTAAAAATAATTTTTTGTTTTAATTATTTTTTTTTATGTAAATAATTATTTATTAATAATAATATAAAAATGAAGTGATAGAAAAAGTCTAATATCAGTTTTGAAAACAGTACGAAAAGTTGATATAGAAAAATATATTTTTAAATCTGATGAAATGAGTTTTCATTGTATTTATTTATAAGTAACTAAAATATTTTTTATAAAGTATTCCATCAAGCCCTTTAAATTTTTATACGCGTTAAAAATAATTAAATATATAACTATTTTATTATTTTCTAAACTTCTGTGTACAAATTACAATATTAAATTATTAAATATCAATATCATACTAAAATTAATTTCTTAAAATTAAACACTATTTATAGATTTGCATCGAAGCGTTTCTTATGATAGTGATTATCTATAATGACTGTCTGATATCATCTATAATTGCCACGTGATTAAATGACTAAACATATAATTAATATCTAAAATTTGCAACCACCCTCTTGATAATTAATTTTTTAAATTTATTTTACCATCAAAGTCAATGCTGGAAATTTCTTTTACAGCACAAAAAAATAATAAAACCAAAATACTAGTTGACATTTTTCTTTGTATTTTTGTTATCTAAAATAAATCAACCAACTATAATAATCAATAAATATTTTATAAAATGAAAATATTTCATACAACTTATCAAATATTTTTTACACTCCTTAACTTCTTTATAATTTTAATATTTAATGCAAATTGTACTTACTCAAAAATAAATGTTTTTTCTAATTGCAAATAATGTATTCGCTATTTATAATAACTATCGTATGATGTTTTTTATTAACCGAAAGCAATTATCAATAAATCAAATTTATAATAAGAAAAAATATATAAAAAAAAAAAACAACTAAAATGTGTTTTGTATTTATTTTTCCTTATGTTTTTTTACTGAGAGATTGTAAATTGTCATGATTAATTTTGGGTACTTGAATAGGCGTAATAAATTGAGCATTATACATTTTCTGGGTAAATTTTATGTATTTTAAATTGCGCTGAACTATAGAAATCCATTTATCATTTATTATAGACATTTTAATATTTTTAAAAATTACTATAAATCATTTTCAAATTTTCGGGGACTGAAAAATTTTGTATTAATTTTGCATCATTATGTGTATTATAAAGAAAAATATAAACTTATCCATCTATTTAAAAATATTAGAATATAATTAACTCTGTATGCTCTTCAATTAAAATAATTTGTTCTTTTTTATCTTTTTTAATATGATGACTCAAAGTTTATATTAATTTTTCTAATTTAATTTCTTGAGAAATTGTATGTAACAATAAATTTTTATTTAATATAAATTTAATTTTGAATTTTCTAAATTAATGACGCAATTGATTTTTGTAGATATGTAAATTCAGTTTAATTTGAATGATATAATTTGAATTTACATAATGACGAAGAACGAATGTTTTCAATTTTTTTGTTATATACAAAGTGATTTATTATAATAAACCACTCAAATAATAACAGAAAAAATATAACATTTTTTTTAGTTACCTTTAGTTTCATATTATGTTTTAATTATTATCTATGTTGTATTTTTTAAGTTATTCTTTAAACCATGTGAGGGTGTCAACATTGTTTTTTCAAATAGAAAACATATTTTGAACTTAATAAAATGCTTGAGGTTCTATTTTAATAGTAAATTATATTTGAATTTTTAATATAACTTAATTTAATATNTAATAGTAAATTATATTTGAATTTTTAATATAACTTAAATCGTTTTTTAGATATAAAACTTTAAAGTGTCATTTTTTGAGTTAATGTACATGTATAACACACGATAGATTACAAATACAGGTTGTTAATTGTTTCTTTATGACGTAACAATTCGCAGATACGCAGCATTTATTATCGATTGTGACTTTATTAACGAAAATGCTTAAAGTATGGTAGTAAGAAACATTGTTGTGAGTTTATGAATAAACCAACTAGCAATATAGAAATCATATTTATTTTTTATTGAATTTCAAAATAGCCCTATCACGTGTAAAAACATGAATTACCATGATCTCACCACTTATAAAACATGTTGTTTTCATTTATTCAATTCGCTCTAAACGTATTCATTAGCTCAGAGAAAGACATTATAAGAAATATATATCTATACAGAGTGATTCATTTAATGCTAACCACTCAATTACTCTTAAAATAATATGTATATTTTTTGATTTTATTAATAATATACATATTCAATTATTTATTCATTTATTTGTTATGAAATAATTTTTAGAGCCATCCCTTATATAATATAGGAGTGTCAACTTAATATTTTTAATTGACAACATATGTATTAAAAGTATAAAGCTTATAATACGGAAAAAAATTATTTTATTTTAATAGAAATTGAGTGTTTAGCGTTAAAAGAATCATCTTATATGTGATGTCTACGTTTGTGTAAAAGTTACCATTATAGTATTAGCATTTTAATGTATACGATAAGCATTTTTTAGCTTCGACGCGAAGCTGAGAAGATATTAATTTTACTATTATGTGTTTTTTTTTTGTGTCTGTTACCACTTTTTCTCATCTCTCACCGAACGGATTTCTTTCAACGATACGTCAAAAGATCACAAATCGTATCTAGTCGAAGACATTACCCTCATAAATTGAAAAAGTTTCCCTCGTTGCCAGTAAATGGGGGAAATCTAAAAAAAATTACAAATTTAAAAATCGCTTATTTTCGAAATTTTTTCAATTTTTTTTACTTAAAACTGACATAACTTTTTCAAAAATGAACAAATCAATATAATTTTTTTTTTTATAAATGTTTGATGTCATTACCTATCATTTGGTATATTTTTTTTATAAATTTAACCCTTTACCAGCCCACAGGAGGGATTAAAAATGACAACTTTTTCACAAAAAATTAACTTTTTCAACTTAACTTTTGAAAGTGTTCCGGAAATACTGAAACTTTTATACATATCTTAAATTAAATTTCTCTAGTATTTAAGTTTACAGTTCTCATATTATACAAAAAACTAACATAACTTGGCAGATGGGCGGAAGTTTTGATCCTAAAATTTGAGAAGAAATAGATCGTATTAAAAATATTTTATCGTTACTTCGTATTGTTTTGGACATTATTATATTTTTTAAGAAATTAAAATCACGCTAACTAACAATTCAATCGAATACACGATGCAAGCGACTAAAGTTGTATCCTTAGTTAGAGTTCGATTTATCTCAATTAAAATCATTTTACAATTTCCGCTCTATTTATAAATTAAAAAAACAAACAATAAGTTAACACAACACAACGATCACAATAGAATTTTTATTTTACATGTACGTAGTAATAGTAATTGTTGTAGTAATAATTAACAGCGATACCAGCTGATAAATTATTCTATCATGAAGCTGGTATTTAGTAATCACAATATTTTAGAACTATTTTATCTGTAACAATGAAACGAACTGTCAAATAAAAAATAAGTTAATAACCATTTGTATAGAAAACTTCATTTTAAACAATTTTCGTATGAAACATTAAGCTTTATAAAATGCTCACCAGATAAGACAAAATTTTTGTAAATATCCCAATTTCGGTAATATCAACAAATAATACATTTTTTATAATTTTTATGGAAAAATAATGGATTTAGAAGAAAAATTGTAAGAATATAAACTATGCTAAACAATTAGATCTACAATTTAGCTTCAATAATTTTTTTTGTGGGAGCACAAATTCGCAAGTTAATTGCAAAAGACTAAAAAACTACCACTTTCGGTCGATTTTCAACTCCAAGTCGGCACGGGTAAAAGTTGTCCTAACGACCTGAAATTTTTAAGGGTCCTTTTTACATGTATACACAAAAATTTGGGGGGTAAGAGTAAGGACTTTTCAACATTTTAAAAATAAGGGACACCCTAATGGATATTATATCAAAAGAATTAAATCGATAATTTTACTTGGTATTAAATCGATTACATTTATTGATAAAATAAAAATAACTAAAGAAATCTTTGATATTTACTTTTATCGATCTTCTTATTTTCCCTCTTCTCTACATCAACTACTGGGGTTTACTTTAAAGCAGGTCCTTAATTTACACTTACTTTTATCCTGAAATTCTATTTCACCACACATACTTTTTATCCTTTTGCCTTAGTACATATTCTTATAAGAATCAATATACGTTTTATGGACTCCTTTTTTCATTAACGCTCACTTGAAACCTTTCTCTAAACTCTGCCATACATTCTCAAAATCTATGAATACCATGCAAAGCTTTTTCATTTTCTTCTTATATTTTCCTATTAGCTGTTTCGCACAAAATAACTGCTTCATCGTGTCATTTCTTGACAGTGATGTGTTACTTCTTGACTATGACATAAAAGTTTTATGCCTCTATAATTTTTACATTCCTGTATGTTTTCTTTGCTTTTAAATATGGGTACCACAAAACTTTCTCGGGTGCTTCTGTAATATACAAAAAAAAAAAAAGAGTGAATAATTGAACGGAATATTCGTTACTTGCATTATTTCTATTCCATTTTTGTCATGTGAAATTTTAAGGAATAAAGCATGTAACAGTATGGTGTAGAATAAATGAAGTTGGCGATATAAGTGTTTAAATCAAATAAATGACACCTAGCCGTTTATTAAATTAACAAAAAAAATACTTTTGGAAAATACTGATATACGTATAAAGTAAGAAAAAATAATAATAATATAGGGAGTCATGCAGGTTGCAGTAAGCAATTTAATATTCGTATTTACTTTTGTGGTTGCTTATATTGGCTTTATTTTAATTTCTTAACTTAAGAGTCGTGGTAGTTTGTTGGACGTTGCATTATATTTTTAATTAATTAAACTTGTGTATATATAAAATTTTAATTTATTACTATGTGTATTTTTTTATTATTATATTTTTTTATTGAAGAAGTATAATTAAATAAGTAAAAACAAAATTACATTCATAATTAATTTATATATAATAGATAATAAAATATTTTTCGTAGACTTGTGTTATTAATAAAAAAAAAAACATAAAAAATGTTTAAACAACTTATATTATTTATTGAAAAATACTTTTTCAATAAATAACCTAACAAAAAAAAAAAAGATAAGAGATAGATAAGATAGAAAAAATATTTATATTACGTAAAAATTGGTGTGTGTAAATATAATTATGCAAAGCCGTATTTAAAAGACGAGATAAATATGTTACCAACTAATCCCATTCAATAAAGTTTCTTTTCATTTCAAGTAGAATTAACTTTTATGTAATATTAATTATTAAATGTTTTCTGGGATATGCAAAATATTTAAATGTGGCAAAGTAAATGTTACACTAATATTTTTGGAATATTAGTTGGAAAGACTACATATTAAAAAAATGATTATTTATCACTTTCGTAAAGGTCTAAAATTTTTTATATAACTTCATCTTCTTTTTTATTTGGATTTTTTTTTTCTAATGTTTTAATGAGACATTTAATTTTGTAATTTTCATTTTCACCCACAAACTCTGGTTTGTTTTCTGAAATAAAATAAAATTATACATATATATATATATTAGGGTGGCCGCTATTTACATATGAAGGAAAATTTTTGTACGAAACTTCAGGAGCGCCGGGCGTAAATTTGTTCCTTTATGTTTAAAGATAATCTCTAAAAAATTTGAGCTTTATACTACTTGATTAACTGGGCGCACATAAAGCTCAAAGTTTTGGAAAAATATGAAAAATTTCAGTGTTTTACATTTTTAGACTACAGACTTTGTTTTACGAAAAATATTATAATATATAATATTTTAGCTATTGTAATTTTCTATAAAAAAGATCTTCTTACAATTTCGCGTTTATTTAATACTTTTTGGTTAAAATAATAAAACTCGACAATACTCGTGATTTATGAAAACTTCCAACTATTTGGTTTTTTGTAATTATCTGGTTTAATTTTCGCATTACAAAAAAAATTTTAAACATAAAATTTGTTTAAAATGATATTTTAAATAAAAAATGTTATTAGATAATTTCCCTTAAAACTGATAGTTTTTGAAGTATTGATAAATATAATAAAAATATTTTATCGATATGTTCTAATTTTTATAACGTGAACTATTTTGTGCTATTTATATCATACTGTGCCATGATTTCTGGATTCCGTTTAATAAACCTGTTTACTGATAATTTTTCTAAGTACAATAACAAAAAAAAAATATCTTAGAATGACAAAGTACTATCATTAACAGAGTTATAGGACGTGATAACACAATATTTTTGTAGTTTCTGAACTTTTTATCTCTACTAGCGATTGTCTTTTTTTTATATTATAATAAGTATCAATTTTTTAATTGTGTTAAGTATGTCGTCACTTCGCCAAAAAATTTTTCTTGTTGGATTTTTTAAACACCAAATAACCGGAAGTAAATTACCTTCAAATGGTGACTGTTTACGTGTTTTATTTTATAATATGCGAATTGCCAAGCTTAACTTTAATGTCAGTGCATCATTGGTTATTGAAGAATGTGTTATATACTGGAAAAAAGCAAAAATTCCTACACAAGAACTACATAAATGTAAATTAAAACTACAAAAACTTTATGAAGTGTGGCAATCACTCTCCAAAACTATTAATAGAACAAGTGAAAGTTTGAATAAACAGCGAACTGAATTTAGCGATTCTTTAAATGATTTGTTCGATATAGCACATAGAGATGCATTAATACTTATTAAGTACGATGAGGATAAGCAATTTTTAATCAAACAGCGCGAAAAAGGACGAACAGGCTGTATGGTAGGTATTGATAAAAAAGAAGAACTATTGGAAAAAACACGACAGCTAAGGATAGAAAAAGAAAACGAAAGAAAACGCAAATCTGCAGACATTGGCATTCCTTCTACTTCAGGTATGGCCATCAAAAGTACTAATATTAAAAAAAAACCATTTATTTTTAAGAGTATTGAACCGTGAACAGTGAGGGTATGATGTATCATTCTATCCAATCGATTACAGTTCTTGACTTACAAATTTTATATTTAAGTCATATTAATAAAAATATAAGCTTTTATAAAAGGACAAAAATTATTATACTATTGTATTGTAATATTTTAGCGGAGTTTGATGTTGCCGATTCTGAGAATTGTTCATCTGATTCGCAAATTGATTGCATCGAAGAAGAAATAGTTCAAGAACAAGAAATAAAAATCTATGAAAATCCCACAAAAAGGCCCCGCAAAGAATTATTAACCTCTCGACTATCTGCAGCTTTAGATAGATGTAACGTTAGTGGGCGAGATTGTATACATTTAATTATGGCTTTTTTGGATGCTGTATCTCTAGATCCATCGTCTTATGTTTTAAATCGGACATCAATTTCAAAACAACGGGAACAATTTCGAAAAAAAAATTACATAAGAATTAAAGAAAAATTTTCTCAGCTTAATGACAAAATAGTAACAATCCATTGGGACACTAAATTACTACATGATATAAGTGGCAAATCAGTCGAAAGATTGGCTGTAATTGCTACAGGTGCTGGTACTGAACAACTTTTAGGTGTTCCAGAAATACCTGCTGCTACCGGACTTGAAATGGCATCAGCTGTATATGATACGTTGGAAAGTTGGAACTTAATAAAAAATGTCCAAGCAATTGGATTTGATACTACAGCGTCAAATACTGGCAGGATAAAAGGAGCATGCATGTTATTGGAACAAAAATTAGAAAGGGATTTATTATATTTTGGCTGCCGACATCACGTTTCAGAAATAGTATTAGCAGCTGTATTTGGGAAATCTAAATTTTCAATTTCTGGGCCTGATATCCCACTATTTAAAAGGTTCCAAGCTAATTGGTCCCAAGTAAATACAAATAATTTTGTTCCAGGCATAAATAGTTCTGAAATAAGAAGTGTTGTTGGTGATGACTTGGATAATATTTTGAAAAATTATAATATTGCTATTTATAAAAAATATCCTCGTGAAGACTATCGTGAGCTTATTGATCTTGCAATCATTTTTTTGGGTGGAATACCCCCCGGAGGTATACAATTTAAGAAACCAGGAGCCTATCACATGGCAAGGTGGATGGCTAAAGCCATATATGCATTAAAAATTTATTTATTTCGTACTGAGTTCAATTTAACTAAAAATGAAGAAAAATCATTAACTCTATTTACATGTTTTATTGTAAAATGCTACATTATATATTGGATTTATGCACCAGAGGCAATATGTGCACCATTAAAAGATATTCAGTTTTTACGAAAATTGTATCAATATAAAGATATTGATCAAAATATCTCTGAGATAGCTATTGGAAAGTTAGTCAATCATTTATACTATTTAACAAACGAATGTGTAGCTTTTTCATTGTTTGATGATAGTATAAGTGTTGATACTAAAATCAAAATGGTAGAACAAATGACAACACTTGCTGAAATTGACGAAGACAACAAAGACTACCAAATAAAAAAGCTGTCTTTAAATTTAAATCAAGTACCTTTATTTTTAGAAAAATGTGTTGATGATGTATTAATATCCCTGTTTAATGGACATTCAAAAAATATTTTTCAACGATACAAAATTAAAAATTTTTACATATACACCCATCTCAGTGGTCAAGCTCTCGCGAATACCAACAAGGTAAACAAATTATTAAGGAGCTAAAAGTAGTAAACGATTCAGCTGAAAGGGGCATAAAACTTATACAAGATTTCAATAAAAGTATAACAAGAAACGAATCACAAAAACAATTCTTGTTACAAGTAAATATATATTTTTTTTAAAAGGTTACTTAAAATTATTTTTAACAATATTTTTTTTAGGTGGTACAAGATTACAGAACTCAATATCCTCAGGCGACAAAAAAAGTTTTGAATCAGGCGTATAATAAATAAATTATTTGATTTCAATAGTAAATCATATAGAATATATACATATGAATATAACTGCATTTTTATTATAAACAGGTTTATTAAACAGAATCCAGAAATCATGGCACAGTATGATATAAATAGCACAAAATAGTTCAGGTTATAAAAATTAGAACATATCGATAAAATATTTTTATTATATTTATCAATACTTCAAAAACTATCAGTTTTAAGGGAAATTATCTAATAACATTTTTTATTTAAAATATCATTTTAAACAAATTTTATGTTTAAAATTTTTTTTGTAATGCGAAAATTAAACCAGATAATTACAAAAAACCAAATAGTTGGAAGTTTTCATAAATCACGAGTATTGTCGAGTTTTATTATTTTAACCAAAAAGTATTAAATAAACGCGAAATATTATATATTATAATATTTTTCGTAAAACAAAGTCTGTAGTCTAAAAATGTAAAACACTGAAATTTTTCATATTTTTCCAAAACTTTGAGCTTCATGTGCGCCCAGTTAATCAAGTAGTATAAAGCTCAAATTTTTTAGAGATTATCATTAGACATAAAGGAACAAATTTATACCCGGCGCTTCTCAAATTTTAAAACTTAAAAAATAGCGACCACCCTAATATATATATAAATAGTGCTAAGTCACACAACAACCTCATGGTAAACAATTCATATTAACATTTTTAAATAAATCCAATAGATATATTTTTATTGGGAATTATTTTTTATTTTATTACTACCAAAACCTTCCTAGTGCCATATTTTTCAATATCAAAGTTTATTGATCTAATTACAATGTTTTGAATATTTTAACGTAACTATTAGCATTTTAATTTTACTTTAAATTGATTTTAAGAATCAGTTATATGAAAAAATATTATGATTAAATTTTTTTATTTAATATTTGAACTTAGTTTGTAGTAAAAAAGAAGAATATGATGTTCGAATAAGTTAGCGACGTTTATAAAACACAATTTAGTAACAACTGTAAAATTATTTTGATTTGCATAAAAATAACATTTTTTAGATTTGATGCAAAGCAGTATTAATATTATTATGATGTGTTAAAATTTTTTTTTGTATTTGTCATCAATTTCTTAAGTCACATAAAACCGATTTTTTTCAATGATAAGGTAAAAGATCACAAATTGTATATGTGTAGTTGACATTGCCCTTAAAAGTTAAAAAAATTTCCCTCTTTTCCAGGAAATAAGGATATCTTCCAAAATTTCCGGATTTTCGTTATTGATGAATTTTAATATTTTTTTCTTAAAACCAATAACTTTTTAAAAACGGAATTTTTTATACAAATATCTTATGTATATATGTCTCTTGTCATAAAAAGTTTTTCTCAATCATATCCAGTTATTTTAGTAATTTCAAAATACACAAAATTGGGACACTGTACTTAATCGCTTTTTCATTTTATTTCGATTTACAATATTTTTTAATTTAAAAACATGTAGTTTTATTTAATTTTTTTGACTTACAAGGTGTCAGCGCCGGTATACATTAGACCACCATTATACTGTCTGTAATAAACAAAAAGAAATAAATATATGTGTATAAAAGGTTAGGAGAGAAGGTTAGTAGAGGTGGCCAATGAGGAAATAAGAGTCGTAGCGAGCGTAGTATAAAGAAGGATGAGCAGCAATGGAAAGTAAAAGTGGCTATAGGTACCGGGCAGTGACTATAAAAAAATGAAATAGAAAGGGAACTCGTGGTATGTATGCTTGTATGTACACGTCTAATATATGAATAAAATAGAATTACAAATAAGGGTCATTATCTAGCTCCTGCACAGAAACGCGTACACGAATTTTTGGCGAGTCACAAATTTTGTATTTCTTTATAAAAATATTTTAGTTTATTCTCGATGACCTATCTTATTCTAATTGTTTATTACTAAAAATTCTTCAGTAAAGGGTTTATTATAGACTTATTATGTAAATAAATGTTTTCACTTAACTCTGATTATCCTGATAAGACAAATTCAATTCTCTTGAGATTAATCATGTAGTTGATGTAACAATTATCGATATGTACGTATATTCGTCGGTGTACGCGTTTGAAATGATACGTTTTATGTTATTATAAACTCGCGTGTTACTACTTTTCTAGTACAATTCTATATTAAATCTACTCAAGGTGAAACCTAAATTTATTATACCTCTGGTATTATATGTAAAACCCTTTTGTATATTAATGTGGTATAGTCTTTAACCTTGTGTTTGGTGTTTTACACTAATAAATTTATCATCTAACAATTTATAAAATCAATAAAAAAATTCTAAACAACATAACTATGTTGTCCTATGCAATAAACTATTTCCAAGTAGCCTACATCTTTTCAGACGTTCAAAGAGTGATCTAGGGTAGATGCGAGTTCAATTTCAGTTCATTGCACAATAGATTATACTAGTGTCCTACACTCTGATGGCCCGCACTGTGGCAGAGATCAGACTGGCTAGTCGATAAGTGGAGAGACACTTTTTAGTTGTTTAGGTGATCAGTATATTTCGACTCTGACTTATTTGTATTTCGTAGCTGGTTGTACCAACATGAGATCTCAAATATTATCTTTCTCTTTATGCAAAGACCCTTATGATATGTGGCCAACTTCTTTTCAATCACCTGAAGGACGACCTAGGTTAGATGCGACTGTACTATAGATTTATTCATAATAAGTTATATTAGTGTCCTACACTCCTATGGCCCGTACTGTGACAGAGATCAGACTGGCTAGTCGATAAGTGGAGAGACACTTTGGAGAAGGCTTATAATTAGTTGGAATATTAATTATGATGTTATTGTGCTAGTACTCTGTCCAGCCAGGTTGTGGCGCTTCAATAAGTAATAGAACACAATGCAATCTAGTCATGTATTTTTTTTAGTCTATATATATATATATATATATGTAGATAAAAAAAAAAATTAAATACCAATATTTTATATGTGTTAGAATATTTGTATCACCAAAAGTATTCGACCGAAAATAAGATGTATAATATGTATAAATCCCAGTGATTACGAAAGGAGCATAAAAATCGTGCAGATTTGATATACAATTGTAACTAAGAGCGAAACATACACTCACGCACATTCAAATTGTATATCTTGATTGAGAATTCCAGAGTTCCAGAGAGCTTTAGAGCAGAGTGACAGAGCGTCCCAGCGTCAGGAGAGGAATGTTCAGAACCACCCGAATTTTGGGTGGAAAATGGCCTTTTTACAACCCGCAAAACTCGTTTAGCGATCTCTGGTGATATTCTTGAAATATTATTTGCTGTATTTGATTAGTTAATGTGATAGAATTTTTTACGTGGGCGTTTTATGAAATGCGTAAGAAGGTGGTTAAATCTTGTGTAAGGGTGTTATTTTTTTATTCATCTTATCCATGGGGGAACACCGATTTGGTGATATATTTTATTAAGTACATGTATTAATTATTACACGTATTAAAATGTGATACTACATGTCTTGATAAAATTTTTACACAGATATAAATATTTTTTAAAATTTTATTTTAGTCAAGGCAAAGCAAGATTTAAGAAATATTGGTGTTGACTTTTCAATAAAATATATTATTTCAAAAATATTATACAATAAAGATAAAAAAATAAATAAGGACAAATTATAAAATTGTATGTCTAATAAAAATAATGTTTAAAATTTTTTACATAGATTTTGTGTAATGAAGTCGTATTATTTAAAATTTGAATCGCTTTCGTAGATAATTATATTGACTATATTGTTACGTCGCTATTTAGGGGTTTAGCCTAAATGCCCGTCGACAGTATTCTAAGGGACCAACGGAGGATAGCTGGCTAGGCTATATCTACCTTAGGTACTGAAGT